GTTCAAATTTGTAAGCATGTCTTGACAGAACTGTAAACGCTTTCTCTTATGAACATCAGTAAGTTCTTGTACCGGAAATATGTTGTATGGCTTATAGTTGTGCTTTTTTAAATCTCTATATATCGTCGCACGGCTTTTCTCCAATGCATTAGTAGCATTGTTTAGACTAGTTTCGGAATTTTAAAATAAAAATGTTATGGTTTTAATATATTATTTAAGTATTTTATTTTTACCTTCAAAGTAAAGCAAAGTATTAAGATCTTCATCATCATTTCCTACGATCATTTTTTCATTTATGACATGACGATAATTATATAAAAATGTATTTGCAGAAGGAGTCTGTCGATCTGGATAAATCAGCCTATATTCTCTTCTTTCCTCTTGCTTGTTTTTATTATGTTTTACATAATTTGAGAATATAACATACTTTTTCATCTGCAGTATAAGTTATACAACCCATTTCGGTATGACGACTGACAGTTTATAATAAATTAATAATTGTTTCATTTTGAAATGCCAGTTGCATAGCCACCTATGGTTACCCTTTTGTAGTATCATATGCATTATAGAACCAAACTAATGCTACACAATGTTATATATTGGTAATCAGGAAATGCATTGCTACTATAAAACTATAAAAAATACAGGGTGTCGCATTTGAAATATTGAAGATGCATTTTATTGGGCACTTCCTGTATACAAAATTTGGTCTGTTGCTATATTGTTGGTCGGTACAGATAAAATAATACAACTTTTATTTAAAACTTTCATTTTAACAAATTTTAAAGTAATTTTAAATATTAATATATCCATTTCTTTTGCATAAGAATCTTGAAACCGATGACGAAAATTATCATCCAGTAATTTTAGTGACTCAGTAAAACTTTTCGAAGAACACTGTTTCTAATTTTTTCTTAAAATCGATTGCAAAGTAGGAAAATGACAATAATTATTCTTTTCAAGTAGAGAAATAAACAATTTTATTTTAAGCTGGAAAGTTTCGATTTCTGTAGAAATCTTTTTGATTAACTTTCCCTTGCCTTGTAGTGTTATATTTAATTTATTGAGTTAAGTTGTAATGTCCACAAGAAAAGTTAACTCGCTTATTCATTTAAAATTCGGTAATTCTGTTTTCGACCAAAAACATTTCAATATCGTTTACTAACTCAAAAAATATTTTTAAAACTTTCCCACGGCTGAGCCATCTTACTTCAGAAAAATAAATACTTCATCATCGTCTTCTTCTTGACGTGCCATCTCCGTGACGAAGGTTGGCAACCATCATGGCTATTCTGTTCTTAGATGCTGCCGCTCTGAATAGTTCGATTGATGTGCATCCGTATCATTCCCTCAAGTTACGCAACCATTAGATTCTTCTCCTTCCTACACTTCTCTTGCCCTGGATTTTCCCATGTATAATTAATTGAAGTATGTTGTATATTTCATTACGCATAACATGCCCCAGGTATTGGAGCTTTCGTGTCTTGATGGTTTCCAATATTTCCATTCTTTTGTTGACTCTTCTCATGACTTCGTTGTTTGTTACATGCTCGGGCCATGATATCTTCTGAATTCTTCTATACACCAACAGTTAAAATGCTTCCAACTTTTTAGTAGTCGACGCGTTAAGTGTCCGTGCTTCTATCCCGTAAAGCAGAATCGAGAACATATAACACCTTACCAGCCTAACTCTCAAGTCTAATTTCAGTTATCTTTAAAGAAGTTTGTTCATGCTTTCTCTATTCGAACTTTGATTTCTTTGAAGTAATCGTTTGTGTGATTAATTATTGTGATAATTGTAGTTTTCAACTTGTTCTAAAGTTTTACCGTTAATTGTCAGACTTTCATGATTATTCTGAGTTTTTGATATCCTCATAAATTTAGTTTTCTTTGATGTTTATTGATAATCCGTATTCTTCTCCAACTATCTTGTTCACTAGCTTTTGGAGGTCTTGGAGGTTGTCTGCTATTATGATAGTATCATCAGCATATCTAATGTTGTTAATTGGTGTTCCATTGACTTTATTCCTGCTGTTTTTCCCTCAAGAGCTCTTTTCATAATTTCTTCAAAGTATGCATTGAATAGTAGTGGTGGTAATACACACCCCTGTCGCATTCCTCTTTTAATTTCGAACTCTTCTGATGTGTGTTCATTAATGGGTATGTGTGCCTTCTGTTTATAATATAGATTTGATATAGTTCTAAGGACATTGTATTGTAACTATTTTGCTTTTTGAGGACGTCCATTAGCTCTTTATGGCGGACTTTATCGAAAACCTTGTTGTATTCTATGAAACAGACGTACATATCTTGGTTCACATCCAAGCATCTCTGGATTAGTACGTTGAATGCATAGAGAACTTCACGGGTACCTACGACTCTACGGAATCCAAATTGGGTTTCTTCAATATCCATATCAAGTATTTGGTAAATGCGTTTATGGATGATCTTTAAAAACATTTTAAGTGTGCGAGACATCAGATTTGTGGTGCGGTGGTCGGTTGATTGTCTAGCATTTTTCTTTTTTGGGAAGCAAATAAATGTACTAATGTAGGAGGACATGCATGTACTAATTTTCTGTTATTTTAAGGATATCAATCAATTTCTTCCTTTGTAATTTCTATACTTGTATCTCTGTCCTCGAAAGATATGTCTTGTAGGCTTCGTCTTTCGTCGTCGAAGAGCTCTTCCGTATATTGTGTACATCGTTTTAGCTTTTCGTCAGTCGTTATCATAGTATTTTCATTTTCGTCTAAAAGAGTTGTATTGTGGTTTCTTTTTTGCAGCCTTGCCATTTCTTTAACCTTTTTATGTAGGTTGAATAGGTCGTATTTGTTCTGAAGATCTTCTATCTCTTTACATTTTTCCTCATAGTAAGTTTGTTTTGCCTCTCTTATCATTTTTCTGATTTCATTGTTAATGATTTTTTAATAGTAACTGCCTTTGTTCTTGGCTTATCTTCTTTAGCTCATCTTGCCGAGTATTTCGTCGGTCATCCAGTGGTTTTTCTTTCTTATCGGTTCTTTTAATATCTCTTTGCATGTATCGAGGAGGCAGTTTTTAATGTTTCCCATTGTTGGTTCATCTCGTAGGTGTTAGTATCTAATTTAGCAACGTTTTCATATATTTTCTCTTGGAGTTTTTTAGTTGTATCAGCTTCTTTCAGTTTTCTAACATTTAATTTTGGAGTTCTTTTGGGTTTTCTAATACGTTTAAGCTTGAGCGTGACATTAGCGATTAGTGGGGTATGGTCTGATGTGACATCTGCTCCTGGATATGTTTTTAACTGATGATGCGTTACGATATTTCTCTTAATCATTATATAATCCATTTCGTTTCTTACCACTTTTTCTGGTTTATCTGCTGGTAAGCGCTATGTATATAACCGTCTCATAGGTAATTTAAAGAACATGTTTGTGATTAGTAGACTTTGTTCTTGGCAGAATTATTGTATTAGACGATCTCGTCTATCGTTACATTCCCCCAGTCCTTGATCCTCATTATTGTTCCAGCTCTTCCCTTGCCGACTTTTGCATTGAAATCGCCCATAACTACCGTGATTTCCCTATTCTTTGTCATTTTCAGTGCATCTTCAATTTGTTGGTAGAATGTTTCTACTTTATCTTCTGTTGCATCCATCGTTGGCGCATATACGTGGATCAAATTTAGTTTTGTGTATGATATCTTTATTTGTAGTAGCATCACTTTTTCTGAGATTGGGACAAAACCCTCTATTGACTTGTTGACCTCTGTATCGACAATAATTGCTACTCCACGTCTATATGCTAGTTGTCAATATTTCCCGAGTAATATAAGGTACCGGTTTCTGTCGAAAGGTATCCTGAGTTAGGCCACCATGTTTCGCTTACACCTAATATATTTATATTCATTCTTCTCATTTCTTGAAGGATATTATGCATTTTACCAGGTCGATACATGATTTTGACGTTCCACGTACCTATTTTTGCTTTTGATAATTTTACTTTGTCTTGTTTCGATGTTTGACAAGGGTTTCGCCGGTTAATAACCAGGGAGTCTTTGTCTGTTCCTCCCCTGCCGGATCTTGGGCTTCAATTCTCATGATCAGTTTCTTTTTTCTTGTAGTACTTATTGCCATGATGATTGTACTAGAGATATCCAATTGGATCTTTAATGCAGTGGTTTCTCATTGCCTTCTGCATCCTTATGCCATTGACCATTTACTTGATTCATTCTCCTCTGGTGCCAATTTCTTAGCGCCAGGACATAAGAGTGCCCTTCCACTTACCAACTCATTCGCCCGAAGCCGTTTCTCAGTAAGTGTGGGTTTGCTTATACCGTCAATCGCTTAGTGGATTTTTCGCCATCACCCTCACTTACTTAGCCTGCAGACCAATGCAGTTGCTCGGAGTGTGGCACGTGGAGCCATAAGTGAGAGTTAGTTGTCTTATGAGACCAGTTATCAAGAACCATCTCCCGTCTATGACACTCGATGTGGTCATTCCGATAAAAGGTGCTACCTTTATAACACAATTCTACACCCCGATATCTTCATATTTTACGTCAATTTCATTCGAGAAATTCCGGAATGTTCGATGGTTTATATCGTTTTTGCGAATATAATTAATGGACTTTACTACAATATTGATACCATTTTTAAATTTACAACTTTTGCGCAAAGTGCATGTTGATGGATAATAACAGAATGGGGAATAACAGAATGAATGAAGAGTGGGGATTAAACATGCGCAGTTAAATAGGTTTTCCACTATTCTTCTATTAGTGTGTAATATGCCGGCCACATTTCGGCACGCTCACGCTCCAAGTTCGTTCATTTTTCCTAAAATTATATGGGTGTTTTTGCGGACCGCGCAAAAAGGTGCATGGTTGCCGATCACTGATTTAATCCACTAAAAACTGCTACTTATCTTCAATCTCAGCATCAATTTCAGTACATTTGTAATAATTTTGTAGTGCTTTAAATATTATTAATTCTAATACTAGCAAACAATATATTTTAGGTTCAAAATCGATCAAAACTATGTTGGAGAACCTCCTACCATCGAAGTCACTATCTTTCATCTCAATGATAATATTGATACGCATTTTCTTAGGGATATGTTACAGAAATTTGGTGCAATTGAGGAACTTTTTATTTATTATCATCCTGTAACCAGTAGGCATCTAGGAATAGGTAGAGCCATATTCGAATCAGTCAAAAATGCTAAGGCATGCGTGGAAAAACTGAACAATACCAGTGTTATGGGCAAGATATTGGAAGTTTTTCTGGATCCATTTGGAGAAAAGGTATGTTTTTACACCTATATTTATTATGTTTTTGCTACAGACTTTCCATATCCAAGTCTACTAAATTTTATGTTCAACAGGATAGTGCTATCTAATCTTTCAAATAGTGAGAGTTAAGGAAACTTCAAAATTATGATAGCATATAGTTTGAAAAATAAAAAAGTTTTGAATGTATTTGAAAAATATGATTGTTTAAAACCAAAATAAATTGTCTTCTTCTTCTTGCAGTGCCTATCCGTTTCGGATGTTGGCGATCATCATACCAATCTGTACTTTGTATACTGCTGCTCTGAAAAGATTTGTGCTTATTGTTTTGAACCACGTGCTTAGATTTTTAATCCAGGAAATCCTTGGCCTTCCTGGTCCTAGTTTTCCTGCTACTTTTCTCTGTCAAATTAATTACATTACTCCATATCTTACACTATTCCTCATGATGTGACTAAGGTATTCGATTTTGATTGTTTTTATTGTGGTTCACAGCTTTTTTTCTTTTTATATTTTAATATAACGTCCTGATTAGTAAGGTGGCCGGTATAAGATATCTTCAGGATTCGACGATAAAGCCACATTTCGAAAGCCTCAATTTTCTTGCAGGCAGCGCAGTTCACGACTCTCACAGACTTGAGAAAACTAGAAAAGTGTCTGTAGACTGTAAACTAGAGAAATGCGGTGTTAGCTTGAGTGATAAGGAATATAGAATTAATTGATGGATTCGACCGTTACTTGATGGAAATTCATTTTATGTAACAATAAAACACTGAAAACTTTGTTTTCAAAACTTTCACAAAATTTATTATATATTAAAATATTAAAATTTGGTTTAAAATGTTTATTGGTTTTTAAACATAGTTTAACATATAAAAGAATCATTATTTAATTAATCGAAATTAATACGTTTTTCCCTGAAGATAATAACACCATGTCGTCTGCGTATAATCTACCACTAAGCAAGTTAGAATTTGAACGTTCACGTTGAACTTATTACAACACCTTGATGGACGCCATTTACTTGATATGTAATTGAAGATGTAAAATGGCTAACACTCAATCGAAAATTGCATTGCTATAAAAACAAGTAAATCCCAAAAATATTATCTACACACTGTTTGCTCCTGTGGAAGATATAGCTGTTACCTTATTCAGGGAATTAGTAAATTCTTCTTCTTTAGTTTAGTCTATTGTCGTTTTATACTATAATTATAGACAAAATGTCCTTTAACGCACACTGTTGCCGGTTGTAATAAAAGTCTAAAATAATTGTTTGCGCCGCAAATACTTTTTGTAGTTCCTTCTCCTATCGGAAGTTGGCTATCATCACAGCTATCCGTACCTTATTGGCGACTGCTCTGAAAAGATCTACTGAGCTACAACTATACCACTCTCTTAGGTTTCTTAGCCAGGAAATGAATATCTCATATTTCGCACCTCTGGTAATGTGACCTAAATATTTCAGCTTTCTTGTTTTGATGTGCTTTATGACCTCGCAATCCTCTTGTAGCCTTCTTAACACTTCTGCATTTGTAACTCGTTGGGTCCATGGTATTTTCAAAATCCTTCTATAGCACCTCATCTCAAATGATTCCAACTTCTTGCCGCTTCTAGTTCATTCTGGCCGCTATTTATTTCAATTTTGAAACTTAATCTAAGAATGTATGAAATTGCTGTAAATATACTTTTTTGTTATTCTATTTTATTATTATTTTATATTTTAGTGCAAAGAAAAGTATGAAGTATTTACTACTGAAAAGAAACCACCCCAACCTCCATTGACTACAGAAACTACACCAAAAACCGAAGAAAAAACAAAAGTTGATTTAGATAAACCTTACGACCCAGCGGATGACGATTTTGATGAGCCATCAGATAGATATAAAAAGGATAAAGACAAAGACGTAGATAAAAAACTAAGAGACAGGGATATTGAGAGAAGTAGGGATAGAGATAGGGATAAGGATAGGTACAGTGGAGGAAGGAGTTATCGTGGAGATTTCCCTACCCCTAGTAGCACTGATATGGGTTATGCTACCGGTCAAAGTTCAGAGTTTTCGGCAAGTTTCGGATCAGCAGGAACAACTCCGTTAAAGTAAGTTTTTTAATTATTGAAAGCAATTGTTTAACTGTTTGATTTCTAGCTTTGACTATCATGGACACACTATACAGCCACCTCCACTGCCCAATCACTTTCCCTTTGCCCCATCGTACCATCCGATTTCCGCACCTCCACCACCTACAGTTTGGCCAACTCCAGTCCCTACCTCTCAGTGGTCACAGGACAGTTGGGACAGATCTCCGGCCAATCTACCCCCGGGAGCTTCTCTTAACAAATGGTCTAGCTCCAGCGACGAGAAACACCACCACAGCAAGAACAAGGAGAGAGATTATAGAGACAGGGATCGCGATAGAGACAGGGATAAGGAAAAGGATAGGGATAGGGACAGGAAGAGGGATGGGGTAAAGAGGAACCACAAAGAAAACGAAAGGGAGAAAGATAGGGTAAAGTATTTTATATGTAGTCTTTTTAAGTTTCGAGATCAAATAACAATAAAAATATTAAAAAACTTTTACATTGAAGTGAAAACTTCTGTTGTAGTAAGTATATATTTAATTAAAAATTAAATAAAAAATTCAAATGGATTACAATACAGAACAGAACGAACGTCTTCGGTCTTATCAGACCATCTTCAGTGAACTTTGCTTAGTACTTAGTTATCTAGAACCCTCCCTCTGCTTGGTGATTAGCAAGTACTAAGCAAAGTTCACTGAAGATGGTCTGGTAAAACCGAAATGTTCGTTCTGAACCAAAATCAATTATTGTAATCAGTGGCGACTCGTGACTACTAAAAGAAGCAGTGCACAAAGAGATAAATTTACCGTAGTTAAATTTACCGCGTATCTACGGGAGGAATTACCAGAATTTTCATCAAATTGTAATTTATGGCACTTCAAAAGTTTTTATTAAAATGAAAATTTTACTTTTCACTGTTGAAACATATTTGAAATCCAATACTTCAATGTTGTTGAGAAACACTTTTTCAACTGATAACATACCCAACGCACTTAGTCTTTTTAAAAAGATTTTATTCTCTCCAACATAGAGAAGCATCTTTCAACTTCGGATATTGACACTAAAACTTATAGCAACTTAACAGTTTCTTGAAAAGTAGATATAATTTCTTCCTTTGAAAGTAATGATAAAAGAGGAACGGCTTCAGAAATGGTTTGCGGTTCTTCTCTTCATATAGTACTTGCAGTTCTATTTTTAAACGTTTTTTTTTCTAGAAATGCATATACGTCAATAGTATCAAAGAGCAATTTGTCTGGAAAGTCTTGAAAGAAAGTTCTGAAAGAATAAACAAATAATTAATAAAATGCCTATTACGTTGTATACCGTCCAAGAAAAAGTGTAACTTGTAACATGGTACTTTCACGGTCATTCGATACGCGAAGTAATTGATTTATTTATTGTTGCCTTCGAAAATAGATCTACACCAAGTGTTATAACAGCTAAAAATACCATTAAACGTTTTCAAACTTCGGGATGTGTAAACAGTTGTAATAAGTGTCATGAAGTTAATGAACTACGTGTTAGACTTGTCGATGAGGGATATTGATATTTCTATTTTTGTGGAAGCTAGTGAACCCTGCTATAGTGTACAAATTGCTAGGGAAGTTAACGTGAATGATCGAACTGTCCAGCGAGTTCTCAAAAGGAATGGGTATTACTGTTTTAAGATACAACCAACACAAGAACTGTTTCCGGAAGATAACTTTAGGCGGATGGAGTTTTGTAAATTTATGTTATATAAACAGAATGAAAACGTACACTTTTTAAAAAATATTTTATTTTCTGAGGAATCTTCATTTTCATTACATAAAAACACAATCCATCCATTGCAAGGTATTATTCTCGGAAAAATAAGCACCTCAGTGTAGCAGTGCGAACGCAGCATCCGCAAAAGTTAAATGTTTGGACTGGGATGTTAGGCGACCGTATTGTTGGTCCATTTTTTATCGATGGGAACCTAAACGGGCCCAAATACTCACAACTTTTACAGAATGAGATCATTCCGGCAGTTGGAGGCCTTCCCGTTAATTTTCAGGAGGTTTATTTCCAAAAGGACGGCTGTTCGGCTCACAACTCTAGAGCAACTATTGACTTCGTCAATCAAACGTTTCCTGATCGACTGATAAGTACACGTGGTACAAAAGTACACGTGGTACAATTAAATGGTTCGCTAGATTCTGTGACTTAGCGCCTAACGATTTCTTTTTTTTTTTGGTTTTCTTAAAGAAAACATTCACTAGGTTCCACGAGGAAACTAAGTTCCTGTAGCTGGCTGTATACCATATATCACAAAAAAATTTGTTAAAATCCTTTATAAAAGGTATATAAAATTGCCTCAAACGGGCTATCACAAACACATTGCAAAACGTTTTCGGATTAAACAATCCATCATCAGTGCAAACGGTTGTACATGCTAGTAGCCACCAAAATATGTGGGTAAAAACCCCTTAAAAGTTATAAATTTGAAATTGTTTTACATTATTAGTGTTTCTAATTTGTGATGGTTAAGTTACCGTTGGATAGGTAACATGGTGGCGTATGACTCTACATGAGTAAAAATTTTTACTCATGTAGAGTCATACGCCACCATGTTACCTATCCAACGGTAACTTAACCATCACAAATTAGAAACACTAATAATGTAAAACAATTTCAAATTTATAACTTTTAAGGGGTTTTTACCCACATATTTTGGTGGCTACTAGCATGTACAACCGTTTGCACTGATGATGGATTGTTTAATCCGAAAACGTTTTGCAATGTGTTTGTGATAGTCCGTTTGAGGCAATTTTATATACCTTTTATAAAGGATTTTAACAAATTTTTTTTTATTCACTAGGTTCTCGGGAAGAACCCTCGTTGAGAATTGAATGCTCGACGTTTCGGCTCCCATTTTGGAGCCATTATCAAGAGGGATACGGTTCGGTTCGAGTTCGGGGTCTCAATCTGCCTACTCACCTCACTCGAAACGTACCAGTATCGTGTTCTGTATTATAAATACAAGAACTGTCTCTCGGCACTGACGTCTCAATCTGCCTACTCCTCAGTGTCGAGTGATAACCGGTCTTACCCTGTGACGCTGCTTTTATACTCGCTGTACGCGCGGGAACGGTATGACCTGACGTGGTCTGAACTGACGTGGCCTGAACGGTGTGGGCGGGAGGTCGCTGAAGTAGGGGTCGCCATGTTGGCGGCAATCGTTTTGCGTCGTCGCGCGTATTTAAGCTGTTAGGCCGTTTTTCGATTTCGATGGCTTCACGAATGATTCTTGATTTTAAGGAGCGGATTAGGGCGATGGTTTTTGCTTTTTCGAAGTCTATTTTGTGGCCTGTTTGAATGTGATGTTGGGCTAGGGCTGAAGTAGTATCGGAATGTTTGACTGATATAGAATGTTCGTAAATACGGTTGTGGATTCGTCGGTTTGTCTGTCCGATGTATGTACGTGGGCAACTGGAACAAGGTATCTCGTAGACACCATGGTCTTCATTAGGGATTTGGTCTTTTAGGGATCTGACGAGATTGGACAACTTGAAGTGAGTAGTGAAGATAGTTTTGATGTTTAGAGAAAGAAGAGTTCTACTGATTTTGTCAGTGACACCAAAGACGAAGCTTTTTCGGCTGGTTGTGTTTCGGTCTTTTGTCAAAAACTCTTTTCATTTTCTTGACCTTCTGAAAAATATTTCTATTTCTCCTTCAGATATACTAGTTAGTTTTGGCATTGTTTCTTTGTTTACCAATATTCCTATCGATGAAACCATTTCCATCTTGGATATATATATATATATATATATATATATATATATATATATATATATATTATATATATATATATATATATATATATATATATATGGTCTACCAAGCTCCTTGATTTGAAATTTTTCCTCAAACGAGTGGGCTTTCACTAACAAACAGCTAATTTTGTTTATTTTCCTCAAGACATAAAATTTAAACAGCGAACACTTCAAACGTAACTAGAACGTTATAGATAAGCGAAAACCATTCTAATACACTAACAAAAGTCACTTTCTAAAACACACTCTTACCGGAGTTTGTCGCACTACGAAATATTCCATTTTTGTATCGATATACCGTCTGTGAGCTGAGCGCTTCTAACCTTTTCCTATGCGCTTGAAGTCATATCTCGAACCATACTGAAATGGGTCCTTATTTCTCGCCTTAGAACTCGCTTGAATTATTTGATTTTTCGTGAATATTAAATTACGTAATGAAAAATAATGTATGCAGATAATGCATTGATATTAAAAAGAGCAGAGTATAAACAAAAGTATTTTTAGTGATCAACATATTTTTCAAAGACAGCGATGTGGCCTTTAGGACTCGCCGCATCTGATTGTAATCCATTTGTACTTTTTGATTTAACGCTATCAGTCGCGCAAAAAGAAATAAGTAATAATACAAATACAAATCTGAAACTTGCCAGCCATTTTCTATTATTTTTTTGAAGATTTTTGAACATACGAGTAGATTTTCACTATAGTTCTTTTGGTTTTTGATTTATTGAATTTCCTTGTACAAGAACAAAGTTACTTTAGGTAGTCACATATTCACCAGAAAAAGTTAAAAACTGTTAACCAATTATATTATTTTTCTTGATACATATAGAGTTGTTGTTTCACATAATGTACAATCTATATATACTAAACAAAAAATATTTATTAACTCCTCCCATGTTTTGGTTATACAAAAATGCTGAGGCTGTTACCTAACGTAACAGCCTCATGTTGGTGTACATCAATATATATTGTTTATTATTTTTGTATACCAAAGTAGATGAAATAATCACTGATTTATTATTAAACCATTACGTGATGACTATTCTTTTTACTTTTTAGTATCTCTGACAGCCCCTTAAATTTTTAAAAATAGAATATGAAATTTGCACAGATGATGATGACAAAGTAAATTAGAAATAAATCAAAACTAGAATAAACTAAAATCGAAAAATTTTACTCTCACTTTTGTAAATCAATCACAAATTTACACCTGTATGGAGGTTGGACAGTTCGCGCGAAATTGACGTAATTAACTTTATGTCATTTGAACTGCGTTCGTTTTTAGGTATAACCATCATTCATAAATAAGTAAATACACTGTTGTTCTACAGATAACATAATTATTTTGTAAGGTTAAATGTCACCTTTCGGCAATATAATGCTTATGAGAACGCTGTGGCTGAGAGGGTTAATTTTTAAGTAAATATATACCCATTACAACAGAAGCCTTTGTAAATGTAAAAGCTTTTTAACTATTATGGTATACAGCCAACTCCCGGAAACTCTCCTACTTTAGCGAAAAAAAATATAGATATATAAATATATTATAAAAATTATATATTATAAAAATATAATAATATTAATACTTTTTTAGAATGAACAAGAAGAAAACAAGCCTCTTGATCTCGACACCCGGATAGCCCTTTTACTAAAGGAAAAGGGCTCTGGGGGTATGGCACCTCCATTTTTAAACTTCGGTCCTGACTCTGACGACGAATCAAAACCTACGGATAAGTTATTAAAACAAGTTCCTATAGGCACGTCATTGAACAGCGATGATGAGGATGACAGGTCAAGTGTATCGTTGAGCGATATGGCCATCAATCCACAAGCACCAGACCTGGATTTTGACTATCCCAAAAAGGAGGAAAATGCGCCCTTATCAGAACCCCCTTCTCCCTTCCTATCAAGGGAAATTTATTTGAACTGTCATCAGTTGGCTCTAGAGCAGGTAAGTCTAATATATATGCATATAAAAAGAAATTTGCCTTAAAATAAAGTTTCGTTTCCTTTGTTTTTTATTGAAACTCTTCTAATGAACTTTTAATTAAATTAATAAGAAAGTAAAACACAATGAAGGTATTAGAATTTGATTCGATACAGAGCAGCGACAAGCCGCATATACGTATTTCGACCTCTTTAGGTCTCATCAGCCTTCAAATATTCGATGAATTAAATTATTTCTCTTTTTGTTTTTAGATGGCTTAGTTACATCTGTACATAGTTATTTTTAATAACTATGGTCTACGACGGGAAAATATCTTGGTTCGATACGGAGTAGTGGCTATACCGTACTGAGGAGACCTAAATAGGTCGAAATACGTATATGCGGCTTGTCGCTGCTCTGTTTCGAATCAAAATCCAATACCGTCATTGTGTTTTATTTCTTTACTTCGTTTGGAGTACCAGAAATCGAATTCACTACAAATATTGGTCATGATGAACGGCATTTGGAATGCAATTTTAGATTCCCTTGCCGATTTATTTATCAAGCTGTTTGCTTCGTAAGTTTTAGGAAGCACGGTGGCTGATATTTGAATTCGATTTCGCCAGGTAGAAATCGTATGATTTCTCTTTTTGTTTTTAGATGGCGTAGTTACGTCTGTACATAGTTATTTTTAACAACTATGGTCTACGACGGGAAAATATTTTGGTTCGATACGGAGTAGTGGCTATACCGTACTGAGGAGACCTAAATAGGTCGAAATACGTATATGCGGCTTGTCGCTGCTCTGTATCAAATCAAAATCCAATACCGTCATTGTGTTTTATTTCTTTACTTCGTTTGGAGTACCAGAAATCGAATTCACTACGAATATTGGCCATGATGAACGGCATTTGGAATGCAATTTTAGATTCCTTGCCGATTTATTCATCAAGCTGTTTGCTTCGCAAGTTTTAGGAAGCACGGTGGCTGATATTTGAATTCGATTTCGCCAGGTAGAAATCGTATGATTTCTCTTTTTGTTTTAATAAGAAAGTATTGACAATATCACACAGTTTGTTTTATAAAAGGTTTTACTCGATATTTTTAAGACTTTCGATAATAAACAAATTTTATGTAAACACAAAGTTTATGTCTCGTATGAAACATCAGGGATGTTCTAAACAGAGGATGTCGTAGAAATATTTAAAAAAATTGAATAAAACAAAAAAATTTTTATTTTAGGCTGTCGTGGCAAAACAACGGGAAGCATTAGAGACCACTGCTTTGTTGAAAAAGGTACACATAGAAATGAATAAAATAGGAAGTGATATATCGTCAAGCGAAGACGAACTGTTGACAGGTGAAAGCATTCAGAATAACTACAGTCCCATTGACAAGTCAGATTTTAGGAATGAATTTAAAATGGAGAAGGTAAGTGTTGTTGTTTATTATTAGAGTGTGGCTGAATCATGTTTATTTAGTTAAATTCTTTGCTTGTTTATGTTATTGAAGCGAAGCTTTTATACTCTCGTTGTTACTTTTCTCTATAGTAAAATGCTGAAATGAGTGAAGAATGCAGTTAGTGATTCGCATTCACAGTAAACAATTGGAAGAGTCCATTTACGTGACGAGGGATTACCGTTATACAACATGTAAACTTTTTAATTTTATGAAAATCTGTAAAAAAATAATAAATAATAAAATTACTTTCTTCAATTTATACAGAAGTTATAGCAAGTTCTTGGTGAAAGACACATAAATAAAAATAAATCGTTCCCAAGGCGAGGAACTCCATGGTTTTGTACAGAAGTTAGGGAAAAAATGTAAAGCAAAGAAAAAAGCTTACGTGAAATACATGTCAACCAAAACACAAGAGGCATACCATAAGTACAAGACAATTAGAAACGAAACGCATGCACTTGTAAGAAAAATAAAAAATGATCACTGGGAACGCTTTTCGAAAGAAATGGAACATGAGTTTTACCGTCTCAACAGGAAATATGGCGCTTTATAAGAGGTTATAAGAGGTCAAAGAACGGAAGTAAAGGAACTCATCATTCAATCTTCGCTTATCCACTGCTGGACATAGATCTCCCTCATAATTTTCCATCTATTTCGATCTTGTGCCTCTTGCATCCAATTTCTATGACAAAGTTTTAGATCGTCAGTCCAACGTGTTGGTGGACGACCTCTGCTTCGGTAGGCATCATCTCTTTGTCTCCATTCCAGTATCCGCTTTGTCCATCTATTATCTGTCATTCGAGCCACGTGACCTGCCCAATTCCATTTCAGTGTTGCTACTCTCTCTACTGCATCATCCACTCCTGTTATTTGTCGTATCTGGCGATTTTGATCTCATCTCTTAGTGAAACGCCCAACATAGCACGCTCCATCGCCCTTTGACACACACGGATCTTTTGAACTGTTCTCCTTGTCATGGTCAACGTTTCCGCACCGTAAGTCAACACTGGCAAAACACACTGATTAAAGGTTTTTCTTTTAAGGCATATTGGTATATCGGACGATTTGAAAATATGGTTCAGCTTGCCGAAGGCTGCCCAAGTCAGTCTTATACGATGGAGAAGCTCAACGGTTTGGTTATCTTTTCCTATGCGGATCTCATAACCTAGGTATTTTTAGGCTATTACCTGGTCTATGGATCTTATTCCTACGCATATATCTTCGCTGACTACAAGATTTGTCATCATCTGGGTTTTAGATATATTTATTTTCAATCCCCCTTCTAGCGAGGAAAGGTAGATCTGATTTAAAAGTTCTTTGACCTCATCTATCCTATCAGCTATTAGTACAATATCACCTGCAAACCTTAGATGGCTAAGCTTTTCTCCGTTTATGTTTATGCCCTTGTCGGCCAGTTTGACCCTTTTACATATATATTCCAAAAGCGTAGTGAACATTTTCGGCAATATGCTGTCCCCCTGGCGTACTCCACGTTGTATCAGGAATTTCTGAGTTTGACGATCACCCACTCTAACACTGGCGGTTGCGTTTTGGTATATGTATTTAATTTTATTTATATACCGATAGTCAATTCGGCATTCTGTCAAGGCTTCCAACATTTTTTGTTGATTTACGGTGTCGAATGCCTTTTCATAGTCGACAAATATTAAAGCTAGTGGTTTATTATATTCAGTGCTATTTCTATAAGATTTTTTTTATTACCAGTAGATGATCGTTTGTTCCAAAGCCTTTTCTATGTCACTGTTCAATTTATTTTCTAGTCGTTTCGTAATTATTTTTGTAAATAGTTTATAAATATGTGAAAGTAGACTTATGGGCCTGTAATTCCTGAGGTCGGTAGCATCCCCTTTTTTATGAAGTATAATTTCTGCCTTATACCACTGGATCAAAAAAAGAGATAAAAAAACAGGCAGAAAACTACAGAGGTGCAAACTTTGTAACCTCGGAAACCTTTTTTGGATGGTGCTAGAAAGGTCACCAATGGAGACACTGCGGACGGCAGCCAGATGGTTGGTGGAGAGCGAGTCGTGGGTTCGAAACTAGCTTTTAGAACCGGGAATGGGTCCAACGGACGAAATAAGTAAAGATAGGTGTAAGATATATTAGAAAAGATATAAAAATAAACAAAAAGATAGTTGGATAAAATTACCAAAGATACGATAAAATAGAATTGGGGTTTAAGGAGAAAATTAAGAAACCTTAAAAAAGAAAAGAGATAAGGAACGATATTTAGGTTCTGAGACCAAATTCAAGGAAAGATATCAACAGTTTAATTAAATAAATTTGTTCAACACTATACATAAACAAATAATAAATATATTAGGTGGACTCCGCCCACCTACTTATCTACGAAACTTAATCAGCCTGATCTTTCTTCTGGTCGAAGGTATAATAATAATTTAATATACTAAGCAAATATTCAGAGGTATTGTTATATCAGGAAACTTGTTAGGAGTCGACAAATAAAACTCATACATAAAACAAAAACAATATGTTTAACAACACAATGACATAGGCGGCTGAAGGTACACACAAGTAATAAAAATACACCATCAATTATTAAATGGTGGTATACACATAAAAATAAACAGTTTTATAAATAATAAATACCTTTACAATTACAAAATATCAAAATCATGCACAGTTTAAATTATCAGCGAAGAGTCTGATGCTATTTAAAAATATTCAACTAAAGTTGATTAAAGAAAGTCTCTCTTTGCTGTGTAATGGGCGTATCTCGAGATACCGGGTTAAAAATGTATAACAATTATAGCAATTAACAAAAATTAATCAAATTTAAATTCACAAGAATACAAAAAGGTTACCAGAATGCTGTTTTATAAAAATTAAACCAACCCGCACTTGGTCTTAATTAATTATCTATCTCGCACGGTTATTTAATGATTAACTGAGAATTAAATGTTCGTAATTTAGAATTTCTAAATGGCTGATGGAAAGTTCGTAAGAAAATATTAAATTTTCTTTAAATTCAATTGTTAAATCGGTACTTAACCTTAACTACAGGTGAAGAAATGGTTGAATGTAGGTTCGCCCAGATAATTGAAGATAATATGATATCATACCATATTATTCGCCCAGATAATTGAAGATACTATGATTATGATAACTTAGAGTAATTCTCGATGACTGCTGCACTAAACTGATTTTACATACTATACTTGTATCAAGCACTGAAGTTAATTAAATTAAAAGGTACTCTATACCAATATTTAATCTAGTGTGGTATAGCCCAATTATAGATATTTGAGAAATTTAAAGAGATAGACTAATTGGTGTACATGGGGTACCGAATAGTGCTTAGATCAAATGACTTCTGTTTTAATAGTTCCTCTTTAATATTTTGCCTTGTTACAGGATAGTATTCAGAAAAACGCAAAAAAATAATTACTGTAAAATATAATTTTATTAGGTAAAATTATAAATATATTATATTTACATAATTATAACTGTTAGTGAGAGCGCCCACCACAGTGGCGTGGCACGTAGCAAGTGGCAAGTAGCACGCGTCTAGCATGTTTCTTAAAATGTAACCAATGAAAACGAATGATTCAGCGTACACCAAAATGACAGTGACGTCATTCATTCTAATCATTCGTTTTCATTGGTTACGTTTTAAGAAACATGCTAGACGCGTGCTACTTGCTACGTGCTACTTGCCACGCCACTTTGGTGGGCGCTCGCCCTTAGGTCTATTTAATCAAAATACTGTTTTTATCTGAGTAGTAGAGTAGAGGAAGTATTAAAAAGCCAGAAAAAAATATGTATCGAAAGACGCTAAAGAAATTGTGTTAAATGTGTTTTATCGATTATGTGAAGAACTGAAACGGCACAAGAGTGTTCTAAAAACTGCAACTTTATCAAAAGTTTCATGTGCTACTGTATATCGAATTATAAAGGAGGGCATAACAAATAGACAAAAAAAAAGAGCGACTTTAGACTACATCGATCTATTGAGCAACATCTTTTAGGTCCCATTTCAGAAACCATTTTATGTTTGCAGGTAATATTATACCCACACTTAACCAAATTTTAGCTGAATTAAAATCAAAAAATATTATTAATTGCTGTAAATCTACTTTAAGAAAATTTTTACTATCAAATGGTTTTAAGTATAAAAAAATAAACGACATAATATAATAGAAAGTGCCCGTTTAATAAATTGACGTAATGAATGTTTGGAAAAGATAACCAAGTACAGAAATAGCAGAAGAAAATATATTACTTAGATGAAACGTGGTTTGACACTAACGAAACAATTGACAAAGGTTGGAGTAATGACAATGTAAAGTGTAAATTTAATATACCAGCTTCCAGGGGAAAATGAATATGCATTTTATATTGTGGAGGAGAAGATGGTTGAGTAACCGATTGCTTACTATTAAGGACATTAAAGACAGTTGTTTGGACTATCATTACGGGACAGATATTACGGGTGAACTTTTCGAATCGTGGTTTAAAAATAACTTTAGATAATGCAGATAAGTAGTTTTAGATAATGCATTATATCATTCTAGACAACTTAAAAAAATACCCTAGAAAGGATGAAATGCAAGATTTTTTATTATTACAAGATTTATATTTTGAAGATTGGTACACTAAAGACCAATTAGTAGAGGTACTTAATACAAAATTATTAGTAAAGGAATATATTACTGATGATGCAGCAAGTAAAAAATAAACATACAACTTTAAGACTACCACCATATTACTGCGTTTTAAATCCAATAGAGTTGTTATGGTCTCAATTGAAATATAATGTGTGAGAAAAAAATGTAAGTCCAAAATGTTATAACACTGTCGTGAAACTAATAGGTTTCGAATTTAAAAATATCTCTGAGGACAACTGGAAGAAATCAATAGAGCACGTAAAAAATATCAAGAAAAAAATCTTAAAAACATTCCTGTTCTACATAAAATTATTATCAATGTGAAGAGGAGTGATTAAGAGGAAGAAAGTGACGAAGTGTAATACCAAGACAACTTTCTCTCAATACTGAGCTTGCCCGGAATATTTTCTTACATAATCAGGTGTAGGGATTATCGACATATGTTCAACACCAAACTACTGCTTAATTTTTTTAAGAAAAACGTGGACTTATTATGAACACTTCACTTATTGTTGCAATATCTATATCTTTGAAAATCAGTTCTTAGGAGAAAATAATAATGTAAGTGTTGACTAGATAAACTTTTAATTTTTTTCTTCGAGGTTTTATAAATTATTTAAATATATATTTTTTTATCTTTCAATACCTACCGTTCGCTCAATTATTAATTAGTTTTTGGATACAAACCAATTATTGTTTGGACATTTTATAGAAAATGCATTGCAGAAATATGATTAAAGTAATTTAAACTTACACATAATCATCAAGGTATAAAATTAAGCTTTGTTTATAACAATACAAATTTATAGAACCAATTTCTTATAAAATATACCATATTAGATTTCATATAGGTCGGTCCTATCCTGTTCTTCACCGGTCATAGTGCTGCTTATCGCATTTTTCTCATATAAATATAACCGGGCTATATTAGATTAAGATACGCAAATATTTAAGTGTATACACACTTACAAATATTCACAGAGAACAGAGACGGTAAGATATGGCGAGCGTCCTTACGCAAAGACTGCCCCGCCAGAAGTAATGTGGTTTCTCTAAAAAATTCACAAGCTCCCCCAAAAAAGGGTTGGGTACTGATGGCATCAGTATTGAACAAGTAATGGGAAGAAAATACCTGAAAATTATACTGTCTAGCAATGGAGACCTGGACAAAGAAGTGAGCAATCAAGTACATAAAGCAAATAGACTGTCAGGATGCCTTAATAGCATTATATGGCGAAACGGACACAACACTGACATGAAGTCAAGAATTTATAAAGCCAGTGTAAGACCAATAATCACATATATGCCTCAAAAACAAGACCCGACACAGCCACAACGTAAAGGGTACTGAAAACGGCAAAGATGAAACTACTAAGAAGAATTACAGGAAATACGCTGGAAGATTGATAGACAAGTGAGACATTAGAAGAAAATGTAACGTACAGTGTATAAATGAATGGACACAAAATAGAAAAAAAGAATGAAATAACCACATAAGCAGATTGGAGGAGACCCGTGTGATCAAAATAGCAAGAGATAATCGCCAATCGGCAGAAGAAGTATGGGACGACCGCGCAAAAGATGGAGTGACAACCTTCCATAGAGGTATTAATCTGCCAATGAACAAGCAGAATTGCTTATAAAAAGGAAGAAGAAGAAGCAGAATTTATACAGAAAACATACTATGAAGCTTCGCACTGGTCTAAAGCTTTACCAGCTTTACTCCAAGTGGCTTCAGATAAGGTTATATACTAAGCCCCATGCTTTCTCACTATTTACTCTGAGATAGTATTCCAAAACGCAGGTGCAGAAGATGGCATAAAAGTGAATGGTGTATTGATACATAATTTAAGAAATGTCGATGAGACAGAGTTATAACTTCAGACAGTTTGAAGCGTTTATGTAAAAATATATTAGCTGAAGGATTACTAAACTACTAAAGGAATACTAAACTCAAGAACCTGGGTAGCTGGATCGATGAGAATTTTAATCCTGACTTACAAATCAAAGGTAAATGGATCTGAAGACTAAAATGAGAATTTACAATAGAATTTACGATACTGGGTAGCTGGATCGATGAGAATTTTAATCCTGACTTACAAATCAAAGGTAAATGAATTTTAAAATTGTAAAAGAGATTTACAATGCTGTATTGCTGCCTACGATTTCACGTGGTAGCGAATTTTATATATTACAAAAAAAACATGAGTTTTAATTAACAGCAATAGAGCTGAAATTCTTAAAAAAGATTACAGGGTAAAACAGACGGAAAAATAAAGATATTACTGAAGAAACTGATAGAATCTAAAATAATAGTTAAATTAAGGAAAGGCAAACCAAGGGAAAGGTGAGAAAATAGAATAAAAGATTTAGGTACAAAAGTTAATAAAACTTGGAGGAAATGAACCTGTGATCTAATGTATCGCAGTCATGCAAGATGTGGTTGACTGTTTCAGATCCTCTGCTACAGAGTCTGGAAGTCTCCATGAAACAGCCCTATACAGTTTGATTAGACTGGCGCATGTTCATTAAGAAAGCCTGTTATTACTCTGAGCTGATTCCTTCTTGTTTTTCGCAGTAATTTAGCCCTATCAGGACATGTTCATCCAATATACATTTTGCCGTTTGTTTGGCCAAGTATATTTTCCCAGTGAGAGTTGTATTTGAATACAGGCTTTTTTCCGGTCATCGATGGTCTTTGTCATTCGCGACAGCTGGCAGATTTGGAGATTATTATCAGCTGTCTATCAACCGTTTAGAAATACTATCGTTCACTGCTTCAGTTTCTACTGAACATATAGTGCCAAATCACTATAACAGGATGTTAAAACATACTCGTTGCAACAAGATTTCTTTTTAAACCGCTACTATTTATGTCATGTGTATTTAATTTACTTTTTGTTATTTTGCTATTTTTTAAATCATATAAATGTTGCTCATGTTAGTTTATTTTTTATTTCAAAGTTATTTTTCGTTTGATAGATTCCATTAGTAAAATTTTTGTAATACAGTACATAAATTTTTCTGTTTGACATAGTGTATTGTGCATAAAATGATCAATACGGATTTATTTTGGTAACTTTTTGCAGTGAATGTGAAAACGTGATTTGTTTTCATTAATCAACTACGTACAACTTGTCAAACATAGCTTGAGATTTGGTTTTTTTAATATTAGGCTTCGCATCTGATGCTCAGTGGATAACAACAAATTTCATCATCATTATTTCTTGATCGGTGAAAGCGAGGTGATTGTAATTGTACAGTTTGAGAAAAATATTGCTTTGTCTTTTGCCTATGCTGGAATACATCACACTCTTTAAACTTGTACAGAGTGTACCAACGAGGCGGAAACAGATAGCGCTTTATGCATCTCTTTTCTTCTGAATACATTCTCACTTAGTTTTTTACGCAGGTTGCCAAATCGCCAAGTCTCAAGCTATTTTTTACAAGCAGTACACAAAAAATTTTCTACACTCCAGTATTGTCACGCCATATCCTTTATTGTTGTTCGCTGTATTGGACTTTTGATACACGAAATGTCAAACAGAAAAATTTAACTACTGTATATTTATTCAAAAATACTGATCAGTTCTTTGGTTGTACAGTTATTCTATTTCTTAAAGGACGACGACAGAATGAGCTTATCCTCGCTAAGTAGCAATGAAAAAATCGAGGAGGTTCAACCCGAACCTCCACCCCCACCCCTACCTCCTCAACCTCCTACAACCGCCCCTCCTCCGCCATTGCCGCCGGTACCGGGAATATTTCCTACTCACTATCCACCAGGACTACAGCACTATCCGGGTAAGTTGAATTGATAAGTTTACTTTTTGTTTTTATGTATACAATACCGGCCGCGCGTACTGACGGTAATATCAAAGAATATAGACGCTTATAGAAGAATCTTTCACTGTTATGTTTGAAAGTTTGCAAAAGATGATCGCCCGTTACGAAAAAGAATGAGAGGGTGGATCGAGAAGGGAGCGGTCATGTCAACACTATTATTGCTTTTAAAATATGAAAGAGTGGGGCAACAAATGCAACAGATATTTTTATGTATAATGCCAGAGAACTACGAACACATAATGCCGCGTGGCCGTAGAATAGGATTAAATTTTTGCGTTTTATAATATTTTTTAAAGAAAATAATAATATTTTAACTTTTAATAAATGAATCCTATTAGAAAAAATATTATGATTCGAATTTTTAATTTAAATAGGTACAAATCTACAAATAATATTATAGTTAATAAGAAGAACTCTCTTCTTATTAACTATAAAATTAATTCAACCAATAAAGTCATCAATCACCGGAATTAAATATTTCCAAATTTTCTAAATTTAATAATTTCTTCTTTGTTTTTAATATAAAATAACAAAATGTAAAACACAACACTGTTTTTTCTGCAGAATAATGGAAACATGTCTAAAAAGCTTAATGAAAAGTCCTGAGAAAATCAAATTTTTGGTTAAATTAACCCAAAAATTAACGAAATATTTTAAAAAAATATTTCGTTAATTTTTGGGCAGAAAAACAGTATAATAAAAATTTATGTGACGGTTTTTCGTTGTGTTGGAACAAACCTATTTTTAATTCAAAGTTATAAAATGTAAAAAATAAATGCTTTGAATAGGTATTGTAAATATCATACCTTTTTAAATTTCAAAATTCAAAATTTAACAATTTAATATATTGAAAATAAAGATTTTATTGTGAAAAAAAAACAAAAAAAGCATGGGATTTTTTTTCGTACTCCTTTCCCACTTTCCCCTAACTACATCTTTTATGAGATAGTTTAAGCCGACTGCCAGATGTGTTTTAAAGTGTAAACCCTAACCAAATCGTCCATTTGAACTGTTCTTCTATAAGCGTCTATATTCTTTGGTAATATTAATAAGATCTCTTGCAGTTGTTTGATCTGTCTCTCTCTAGCGCATTGAAACTCCTCACTCTCTCACTTATACCACCAATAAGAGACGCTGCTATACTTACTTGATGTAAGACAGAGGCACAACAAACAACGAAAAAAGATTGTGTCGTCACTTAGCTCTACAAACTGCTGATGTTAATATATACGTCTTAACGACTATGTGAATATTAAGACATTTGGCACTTGCAGTTTAGCCACGTAATTAATAATAACGTCATTAGTATTGAAATGTTTATTAAGTATTCGCTGTGTGCAAGTACTTGGAGGGGATACGAGAAACGATCGTGCGCGTGCAGCGGTGAAATCTTACAACTTTGTTATTATATTTCATAAGAAGTTATTAAAAACAATGGAATTTCGAAAATGTTGTGTTATAAATTGTAAAAATACAACAAAAAATAGTAAATTCAAGTTCTATCGGTTTCCAACTTCTAAGCACAAATTAACGCAACGAGAAAAGTGGATTTATATTATAATATAGCAGATGTAACATAAACCATATTCGATAAACTTTTTTTGTGATTTAAATAAAAATACCAATATGCTTACACTTTTTACTTTTATTGTACACACAACTGCAAGACACATCTTTAATCTTTCTTTTGTTATCAATCTAAAAAAAATAAACCATTAAATATTGCAATTGGGCACTTACCTATTTGAAAAATTATAGAACATTTAATAAATAGTAACTTACATAATATATTTTTGCATCATATGGCTGAGAGGTGACTGAAGTTTGTCTAATAACACTTGCTTGAATTAAATAGCTGTGCCCATTTTTTCTTAATTCTTCTACATTCGTAACATGGTTTGCCACAACTAAAGTTTTTTCCTTTGACTTACTAGTTGGTTTAAAAGTTATTTTATGATTTATGTTCTGGAATCCAGTTTTTTTTATTCCATTCATATTGATAGTAATACTGCAATTTATTAATTAATTTTATTTACTACATACAATGTTTACCTTTTAATAACCTTATAACCTCAATCTTAAATGTCAAATAATGAAATCTAAATGTATAAAATATACTTACGAATTTTTACAACTAAAAATCAATTCAAATTTTTTCCAAGTTAACTATTGATGTATATTACAATAATTATTGTATTTTGAAAATGAAAGGCAAATATCGAGCACAATTTTAACAATTTAATATTGCCCAAGTACTTTCGCGTAAAACAGTATCTTCAGGGCCATTTCGTCATTATTGGATTAAATAAACAAGTTTAAGTCACTTTATATGCAGCTAATATAAGACTAACATGTTAATAGTGCTAACACCTTCGCTGATTTATGCCACTAGGTATGGCTCTTCGGAACTTGCACATAGCGAATAACTGCAACTACTATTTTCATTAAAAAATTCAAGAATAGCTTTATTCGGTATTAAAACTTATTTTAGGAGTTAAAAACGTAAATAAGACACTTGATAAAAGTCTCAACGTAGGTACATTACTATATTTAAATATCATTTCGGATTTGTATAGTAAATATGTTTATTTTTATTTTCAAGCAGCATTGAGACACGCATGTATAAGAGGTAAAATTGTTGTTTTAAAATTCTCAGTAGAATTATGACTTATTTATTAATTTATTTTACGACATACTTAGCAATATACAATTATAACCATTGGGTGCATATCTTTTACAAAATTCAGAAAATTACACTAATAATAGAAGTAATCACAGTTCGATGTAGAGATTATGGATTAAGAGAACTGCCTAAGGAGAATCTGATTTAGAGAACGGACTCTAAATGTAGATCGGTCTAGTTTTTGCGGAGTAGTTAGAAGCTAGGCGGAAGTGTATTAATATCCAGTAGGGCGTGCTGCTCGGGATTTTCCAAGTTACTTCAATCAGCCAACCATTTTTTAGAACCCCTGTAGTTTGTGTCTTGAAGAACTTTGGTAGTATTTACTAACGGCTTTCTAAACTGTAATCTGTGGAAATCTCATCTTTTTTCTAGGGTGATATTAAATTAAATGCTGGATAACGCGTCTGCTTGGCATAGTCATGTCTCAGTAGAGATTGTATCGGTTAATTCATTTTGAATTCTGATTTTGCTCTCCAAATGTTACTTTGATAATCATAATCAATTGCGTTGGTATCAATAACTCTTTTAGTGTTTGAATCAGAAATTTTCGATTGATATTATAATAGGATTTATTTAGATTTAGGATTTAAAAGACAATTAAGAGGTGCTGAATTTCTAAATTAAATTCACAAATTTTTTCTAGGATTTGCTCAGTGTAAAGGTTTGATATATTGTCGTTTTCTGTATGCAGAAACCGCATTGGTATGCCCCAACTATTTGTTCCACATACGCTCTTAGTCGCTCATATACTGTGTTGGACAGTATTTAATATGCCGTATTTAGCAACGTAATTGCTCAATAATTTCCACATTGGAGTTGGTCTCCTTTTTTGAGTAATGACACGATTATTCTAATGTTCATTTCCAGTGGAAGTTGTTTATTTTTCCATGTGCTCAGTATCAGTTCTTCACTTAATAGTGAGTCTCAGACTTCGTTTATCAGTTTTGCACTAATATTGTCTCAACTAGGCGACTTATTGTTTTTAAATTTTTTGGACAGTTGCTTTCACTTTAACTACTGAGGGTAGGTTTGTTTCTCTTTTGCCTCAATGATCCAGTTCAATTTCATCATTAAATTCATCGCTATTCTTTTTTAATTTTTCACGAAAGAAATCTGTCCGTCGCTTTAATATTTCCCTTTGTTCTGTGAACATGCTTTCCTCTTTATCTCTAAGACATTCATGTTCTTGGTTTAAAATCCTTGTTCTTCTTTTCTAATTTTGTTTTCCATTTGTTAAAATTGTTATTTGAATTCGTCTTCTTTTCCTTTAGATGAGCCTTGTACGATTAAGGGATTCTAGTTGAAGAATTTTCCTTTCAGTCTTAATATACCTACTGACCTCTTTAGAGCAGCGGCGTCGAAGGTGCGAATTGCCATGATTGTTGCCAATCTTCTTAGAGGAGATGACACGTGAAGAAGAAGAAGATACCTACGCATTCTAGGATTTATCACACGAATGTATTTTATTAGATGTTTAACTTTTTTATTTATTATAAAAAAGCACCTAGTGTGTTGTCTTTAAGCTCGAAACTATAGAAAATTATATGGTTTCGTTTTTCTATCGTGCCGATTCCTAATCTAATTTCTTATAGAGCTGTCACGTCTATTCTATATTTATCTAATTGGCCAAGCAGGTTTTGGAGAGCTCCTAGTCTGTAGAGAGATCTTGACTAAGGAGCTGTACCATATTTAAGATGATATGCTGCTCTAACTAGGTCGTAACCATCAATGGACTCTCGAAGTTATGCGATATTTCTAGTGTATGGTTCTTGTCAGTACTTACTTCATTGTTTATTTGAAGCTTGGGGAGGCATTTACTTTACGATTTACTAATACGGAAAACTCAGCCAAGCTTTTTGGTCATATAGCCATGAGAAGGGCTGCTTGGTTGTGTTCTGTGGCTCATTGTATAACAAGTGAATGTTGTTGATCCAAGAAATCGTGGATTTACTGAACAATCTTTATTTCCAATTCTTCAGCGTTACCCAGGGGCGCACCACGAGGAAGCAATAAGCATAACTAATATAAAGTTATTTAATAATGACAATTACACGATTATTTTATTGGTGTAGGCAGATTCACATGACTTTGACCTTTCATATTTAAAAAGAGTTTTTTTCATTTTATGTTTAAATGGCCTGTGGTCATAAGGGGTAGAAAAGATGATGAGTCTGTTCGTCTTAGTTTCTTTTTTGTTCCAATATAATGAAAACATGATCAAAAACCTTTCTAGTATAATTTGTTTGTCATTTTGTATTCTTGTAGTATTTACTTCTCTTTTTTAATCTATTTATCTTTGTTTTACTTTATATTAGACTATTTACTAGTATAGGGATACACAAAGGTATCTTTTATATACACTCACCGGCACGAAAAATGGACACCCTTATAAATTCTGGCGAAATTGCCCTAATCTTTTGATTTTTTTTTTGTTCTTTTTACAAATTCGGCAAACAATGAACACGGTTTAGTAGACATCCCTAAATGTAGTTTTTAACAAGAAATATCTTTTGAATTGAAATGTTTATTTTAAATTGAATTGTTCCAAATATTGTTAAAAAGTCTCAACAATACAAAAGTTATCATTTTGCCGTTACTGCAGCAACGGTAATAAGGGGCTGTACACTTTTTATTATTTTTACTGTGACACTTCTGTTTACTGATGTCAAAAGTCTAGAAGTCTAGACTACTTAAAATTCCCTGGACAGATCACACAACAAATGTTGAAGTATTAAATCGAATGGACAGAGAACGAGAATTGCTGCCAATAATAAAAAGAAGAAAAACTGCTTATCTGGGTCATATATTTCGAAATTCCAAGTACCAATTCTTAAACCTTATTATGGAAGGGAAGATAGAAGGAAAACGGGGCATCGGAAGAAAGAAATACTCATGGCTTAAAAACATAAGGGATTGGACAAACCTCGATGCCCATGCACTCTTTAGAGCCACACAAGATCGAGAGGAGTAGGCCAGAATTGTCGCCAACATCCACTAATTGGATAGGGCACTATAAGAAGAAGAGAAGATGTCAAAAGTGTTTATTATTATCGTGGTTGTCAATTCTTGTCAATTTCATGGTATGCAGAACTTCTTGCATTCATTGTTGCTCTTATTCAGAATGGAATAAGTCAAGTTTACGTGGCTAACGGATACGGAGTTTTACGCAGTACAGTGTAACGTGTCTTTGCTCGTTTTATAGAGACAGACTTATAGGAGCTTAGACGACATCCCCTAACAGGTCCCCAGAGAAGAACTACTGATCGGGACGTCCGTTTTTATAGTGTCTTCAGTACTAAGAACTCGTTATTTAACCGCTATAGAGGTTAGAAACAGTCTTCAACAAGTCAGAAACGAAAATGTTAGTGAACGAACCGTTAGACGACGAATAAATGTGACTAATTTGAATTACATCATGGCAACATCGTGTAGCCAGATTACATTTCTCCAGGTAGCGATGAGTCCAGATTTTGTCTATCTTCCCCGGATGGTCGCGAAAGAGTCTGGAAAAGAGATGGTCAACGATATGTGGAGTGCACTTTTAGCCCTATTCAAGTGGGTTCAGTTATGGTGTCAGCTGTTATATACTCGGAAACGCGTACAGAATTGTGCGTTGTCCCTAGGGGATCTTTGATCACTGATAGGTACACAAATGAGATACTGCAAAATTATGTTGTCCCTTATGCACCATTTATTCGAGAAAATTTAAATCCAAAAATTAATTTGTATATATTTTACTTTATTTTTTATACTAATCTGTAAGTTTGTATAGTTATCTATAAATAAAAGTTTTTCTTGAACATTTTCCATCTAAAACATACATTAAATCCCTTTAACAGAGCAGCTAATCGTCGATAAAAGTTACAATAAAAAATAAAGTGTTTTTCGACAATTTTATCAAAAATTCAACTTGTACCCATTTTTCGTGCTGATAAGTATATTTTTATTGACAAGATTAGTTATATTTTAATTCCTTCTATAACCTTTATTTCCCGTTTAAGGTTATCCAGCAGCCCACTTTGCTCCCTCGTTTCCGCCCCACTTTCCTCCGCCGCCTCCAGCGTACGGACAACTAGACTGGAGAACTTATCCTTACGGCCCTCACCAGATGTATCTGCCTCCATTGAATTTCTCCCAATTACCTCCACTACATCCGGCTCAGTTTAATCCGTATCAACTGCCTCCCAAGAAGCCAGAAAACACCAAAGATGATCCCCACGCATCTACTATTAATACGGTGATCCAACAAGTTACGCAGGAACTGAAAAACATCTTGAAGAGAGATTTCAACAAGAAGATGGTGGAGTCCACTGCTTTCAACAGATTTGAAGTGTGGTAAGTAAACACATAGGTTTAAGTCGTGAAAAAAATGTTGGATTTGTACATGATAGGACTTAAATTAAAGTTAAAATTAAAGTTAAATTTATAAATTAAACCAGCTGCCGGGAGAGCACTTGGCCATTGTTCTGTAGCCTTTATAATGTTGGTCTCAATAGTAAGGAAACAGAAGAAATAGTTGCAGACTTGCAGGACCTCTACCTGCAAGTCTGAAAATAATTTATTAGTATATTATAATGGCTTAAAAAATGCCTTAAAAGTTTTACACAACTAAAAAAAGAGTTCTTTGTCTTATACACAACAAGAATACTATTATTCTATTGTTCACAAAAACTCTGCTTTATGACTCACCCCTATTATTTTCTTTACAAATTTGATTATTTTTGCGAATTTAAAGCGTTTGTAAAGGTTATGTAAATAATTAATTTGAACAATTCGGAAAATCTGATTTTTAATGTTCATTTAAACCTTTGGTAACATTATTTTAAACTTTTAGGTGGGAAGAAGAGAGTAGCAAGGAGAACAAAGCTAAAGATAAAGAAGAGCAACTATTAGACAAAGCCCAGCTTAGTCGAGACAACATCAATGTCCTCTTGGAGTCCACACGCGAGAACCTTTACAGCAGTCTCAATCTTGATTCTTCTGTTGGCCTTGGTTTTCTTACCGCGTTACCCAAAATGCCCAGTTTTAGAAGAAAGAAAATACCGTCACCAGTTCCTGAAGATGAGGACGAACAGAAAGTATCCGATAATGAAGAAATTGTCCACAATTCGGATTCTGATGTAACCAGGTGAGAACAATTTATAAATCTTTTAACAATTAGCAAAGAATCCCATTGCCTTCCAAAGCAGTCTTCTTTTCTTATTGGAATTACTATTTTCGTTGGGAATAAGTCATAAGATAACTTTAAAATGACTTTATTTTTGACGTTTCGATCTCCACTTCGGAAATCGGTCTCAAACTACAAACATGAATAAATTAAATAAATTTTATTTTTTATTACTTAATGAAAAACTCTGCTATCATTTAATTTTAACTGATTGATTCATATTGACAATTCAGACATATATTATACATTTTAAAGTAAACGAGTTTGGATTGATATTGCGAATATTGTAGAGTTGCGTTCCTGGGACGACTTTATCGTAAGATAGTTCATTCCATTACAAAATCAACTTTAACTTAAGAATTATTAGACATTAGTGATTCCATATTAAATCATGAGAAAAAACTGGGAAAAAAACTCATGATACTATCCCGACATGTTAATTATTTGGTCTTATATGTAGTTACTCATAAATATCAAACTTTGTTTTTTTATATGTATGTAATTTAAAAACATAAATTATGCATCCTCGATATGGTATTGACACAAAGAGTGGTATTTTCTTTATATACATTTCGTCTTTTAATATGGGTAAATAGATCTTACTGCACTCTGCCGAGGAATTTGTGGCGCAATTGGTCTCATTTAGCATAATTAGTGCTGCTGCTTTGATTTTTTCCCATGCATGTTTACATATTTGAGATCTATCAAATTTTCTTATATCTTATTTATTATTTTCTATCAAATATAAGATTCTTTTTCTTTTTGTAGTGCCCATTCGTTTCGGATGTTAGCGACCATCATGACAATCTGTATTTTGCAAACTGCGACTCTGAAAAGATTTGTGGTTGTTGTGTTGAACCACGTACATAGATTTTAAACCAGGAAATTATTTGCCTTCCTAGTCCCCGTTTTCCTTCTAGTTTTCCGTGAAGAATTAATTGCAGCAACCCATATCTTACAGATAACGTCTTTAAGAATCCACGACTCAACTCTGTACAACAGTATTATCATCGTAGTAACCTGATTTTTGAGATCTTGCTTTCTCTGATCCTAGATTTTATTTCTTGGGAATGGTCCCAATTTTCATTGAAGTTCGTACCAAGATAGATGTACTCTTTCTATTGGTTGACCATTCATATTGATTCCTTCTTCTACACAGAATCACTTCTGTGATTCTATTCGTTAACTCCTGGAGGGCTTCATAACTGTCAGCTATTACCACCTTGTCATCCGCGTATATGATGTTATTGATACATTTCTCCGTTAATTCGAATTCCGGCTTCAACATCTACTACTTCTTGAAAGATTTCCTCAGAGTATACTTTAAATAGCAAGGGTGATAGTATACATCCCTGTCGGACCTCACGTTTTATTTTGATATCGTCGGATTCTCCTGCCTCTGTGCGGATATACGATATTTGACTTCAGTAAAGATTGCTAATAATTCAATAATTTTTAGATCGCAGGTGTTTAGTCCAATATTTTTTAATATCTCCATCAGCTTGTCGTGTTTTGCTGTATAAAATGCTTTATGATAATCAATGAAACTTGCATAAATATCGCAATTCACACTACATCGTTGAAATAGCACTTGTATGCTAAAGAGAGCCTCTCTCTCAAACTGTATACGGCTGATTTTTTCTTCACATAGTATATATCCTTTGATGTATGATTTTTAGAAATAATTGTAAAATTAAGCTGATGGTTCGGAGATCATTGCAGGATACGGATTTTGTTTTCTTTAGTAGAGCAATAAACGTTGAAATATAAGATTGATGTTCACTTATTCTAGCACTTAATGGTCTTGATTTTTCACCTAAATAAAAATGATAGCATTCACAAGGTATTTTATAAATACAATTATTCTTAGAAATATAAAAGAAATACGCAAGTAGACTATAATGAAATATGTAGGATGTGAAATCAAAGAAGAAAATATCACATACATTTGATTCTATAAAATTAAAATATTTGTGACGTGACCCTTGCTAAAATAAATATTTCTTTTAAAGTCGAGAATAATTAAAGTTCATTCACAATTATAAGAACTGACTTATGCAGAATTTAAAAGTATCCCGCTGATGAAGTCGAAGTCATAAAGGGATTTGCCTCTTCAGGTAAATAGTAAAAAGGACCGGCTTAACGAATTGTATATTTTATCAGGCATTTATATTACATATTACTTTTTAAATAAGTAACTAGATAATTGAGGGGGAAATACATAAACTGATGGAGTATTAGAATTAATTAAGTATTATATTTTTCTGTGTCGATTCTTTATTAAATATATCCAAATTTTGAAAGTAATAAAAATTTTTTGTTATGTTAAACAAATTGCAAGTGAAATAATGAAATAGTGAAGTGAAAATTAAAATGAATTAATGTAGGTATATACATATAGCTGAATATGATTATATTTTATATTCCATGTAAGGGAAGAAGTTTTTCAATTGTTAGTAAGGTATAAAGTATGTCTGAAAAAGTTGACAACAAATGGGAAATTTCTTTATTAATAATTTCATGAAAAAAACTATTCTTCATAAAAATGTCTGCATTGCATAGAAATCAATAATCTAATTTATAAAATTTTAAGTGGTATACAGCGAAAATCAAAAATATTGATTTATGCCTAAATGTGAAGTGCTTTTACATTTAGGTGCAGAACAAAATGTCATTTTGATTTGGTTGTAGGAATTAAAAATTATATTTAAATTTAGATTCATGGCCTTTTAATGATGTGTCAGTAGGTGCATTAATTTTTAATTTCATTTCTAATTTACCTTATTCAATTTACAAAATCAACAAAAGCAATAGTATTTTTTTATTTACTTTAAATGTATTATTTAATTATTCGAAGGCCATGAATATAAATTTGGACATAATTTTTAATACCTACAAACATTTTAAAATTACATCTTCTTGCATATCTAAATTTAAAATCACTTTCCTCTTCAGTATTAATTATTAATTTTTATTTTCCCTATCTTTCACTTAATATTTTGTAAGATTATTGATTAATGATTAAAATTATGTTTGAAGCATGTTTAAAATTTCTTTAAATTAATTCCCTTCTCTTTATCTTCTAACTTCTCTTCCCTTTATCTTCAGTACTTCTCTAACTGATTCTTTGTATTTAAGCTGTAATTAGAGCCCCGACCAAGAGATCTCTACCAGACTAAAGCCCGAGCCTAGTATCGTTCCATGTGTAACCTCTACTTTGTCATTAAAGAGGGTACACAGAAAGAAAACTTTTTCAGACATAAAACGGAAAACTTAAACATAACAAATCAACATGAATAAATATGAACCTTTTAAAACGAGTAAATCGGTACTAGCCGAAGGGACCGCAGACGTTCGGATACATATACTGACTAAAAATACAATTACTGACAAATATACAATTGTCGATGTGAAACCTGTCAACTAATATATCTAGTGTTGATACAATGTTTTCTTCATACAAGGCATACACTTTGCGACGAATAAGATCTTCATATACACGATCGAGCTTTCGAGAAATACTGTTACCCGTCTTGTTAATCTTGGTATAATAGGATTTCTTACAATTTTTCTGACTGGATAATGGCTTTTTAGTAAAAGTTGCCGTTTCATGTAAGGCTTCGTTATTGTCCATGTTTTTTTCGACAAGAGTTTGAAAAACATTGGCAGTAATTTGTTTTGCATCAGTAGGTAACTAATTTTTTGCACAAACTGAAGACTCAAACGACTTTACATCCAATTCCATCGAAAGCAGACTTTTAAGTGTTAGTTTGTCATCGTACAACTCTCTTCAAATTAAAAAACAATTGACGGTAAATAACAGATAGACGGTTATATAAATTCCAAGTAATTTGTAATAAGTAAATTAAGTTAAACGTTTACTCATCATATCTGTATATATGGGTTTGTCAGTTGGAACACTTATTAATTTTTACGGCCGGTCCAGTCAATTTGACTAAATTAAGATCTTCATTGAGATCTGGGCGCATTTTCTTCGTTGAGACTTAAAATAATGATTTATAAAAGAATACAATAATTATGCGAAATTTGTATGTTTATAAAAAGAGTTTTTTGAGGTTTTTGTAATTTATTAAATCAATAATCCTTGAAATTAATATGTATGTTTCGCTTTCGTCTCTTCATTCGACCCAAAATATTTTCCAGTCATAAAGGCCCCCGGCACTTTTCTTATGTAGAAGTGGTCTCAGTTAAATCGGTTGAAACTTTGCAGAGAGGTAGCTTTTTCCATGCTGATGAAAAGTTGTGTACCAAGACTCATAAAGCAGTTGTTTTTGAGGTACAAAGATTGAAAGTGTGAAATGAAAAATAATAAGAATAATACATATTTGTAAAATGCTTTCTTTTCCGAGATACGGGGTGTTGAAATTTTCTTACAAACTAACGATTTATTTATTGCCCCGAAACTGGTTGAGAATGCAAGTGAAATTTGGTTGATTTTTGGGGTTTATTTATTTAGGAAGTAATTGCACATCTTTTAGTGCCGCAAGGTTAAGAAATCAATTGTTTTTGATTTATGGAGTTTAAAAACATCGGCTTTTAGTCCATTTTTCAAAATGCAGGAAACATTTGCAGAAAGCTACCTCTCTGCAAAGTTTCAAACAATTTAACCAACGCCCTTTTACACAAGAAAAGTGTCGGGATCCTTTCTTACATTTGTGAATAGATGAAAGTCAGCAGATCTAAATCGGGCAAATAGGGAGGACATTTTAATCATATATACCTCAAATCTCGTTTCGTTCTCATTACCAAAACACCTTTGATTTCAACTTTTTTTAATATGGAATATGGTTGATTCCCATTCCAATCTGTGATTTATAGGCATTATATGTAACAAATTAACTTTTTCGTATTTTTGTATTACTAGGAGGGAAAGAAAGACTTCAGTGAGTAGCACGAGCAGTTCTTCGAGTTCGTTCGTCTCCTCTAGCGACAGTGATAGCTCAGATGACAGCTCTTCAGACTCCGAAGATGAAGAAGAACCAACTGACAGGCATGTATCTCCGATGAGCACTCCCGGAACGGATACAGCTCCTGAGGTCGAAACTGTCGGCAAAGCAGATGCTATTGTCAACGCAGATGCTATTGCCAAAGCAGAAGCTATTGTCAACGCAGATGCTGTTGTCAACGCAGATGCTATTGTCAACGCAGATGCTAGAGTCAATGCAGATGCTATCGTTAACGCAGATGCTAGTGTCAACGTAGATACCGTCTCAAAGGATATAAAGGACGAAGAAAATATTGCAGATGACCTGATGGACGAGGATAGTATTTCGCCACTCAGAGACGGTATTGAACCAATGAACAAGACACCCGAACCTATGCAAGTAAGTAAATACTCAGAAATTATTTGTTTTAATGGTAATACCAAATATATTTTCTAGATTGATTCAGACGATTTGGCAGCTATCCAGCAACGATCACCAGAAATCAGTCCTCGAAAATCGTTGAGCTATATGGATGACAGTGATAGTGATATTAGCGATACTGAGCGATTGATCTTGGAAAGGCGAAGGTTAAATACCGAGTATATGGAGCAAATAGAGAAAGAAAGGGGAGAACTGATAGTCAAAGAAGACAAACCTGTTGTTTCTAGGATTAGAACTGAAGAAACTAGAGTTGTTCATGAAAGAAGAAGATCTGTAGAAACTAGAGTTGTTCATGAAAGAAGAAGATCTGTAGAAAAGGTATGTACTGTAAGATTATATATTAATGAAAATTTATAGTGCAGTATACCAAGGTTTTTAACTCATATTAAATGTATCGATTTCTTGAAATTTTAACAGTAATTAGGAAATATCTACTCTATGCCAAATAGAAGTTGCGGAGGTTAGACATAAAAAAATTTTTGAAGACCTTGGGAAAATGTCGTATCCTTTGATGTACCGCCAGGTGTTTTTTTCTTTTCGTCTTTTTAGTTTCATTTCTTTACTATTTGCCATTTTGGTATGTCTGAACCGTCATACGTCAACTGTCATACATAGTTTATTAACTCTCATACTAAGTCATTTTCCTTTATATTCAAAGCGACTAAAGACCGAACGTCATCTCGCGTTAATGTTCAGTGCTCCACAAAAGCTTTTATCTTGGCGGTGGAATCCGTCCCAAGGGGTGATTGGAATGTTTGTATTGAAAATATTCTCAAGAATTGATAAAAAAAATATTCTAAGCAAACAATTTTCGATTGTTCTATGAATCAATTGTTCGAAAAATCAATACTTTTAGACTTTGTGATTGAAAATTGCAATTTTTCTTGTTTTCAATCGATTTTTTACAATTTTTAAAATCTGCATACGATTTGTGCCAATTTTTTTGTACATACAATTCACGTAACTTGTGTTACGTGTTTCTACTTGTGCTTTGTTTGTATAACTCGTTCGCTGCGTGTGACACTGATCAGGGTCGTCCATATACCCGTGCTGGTGCCACATCTCATTTCATCAACTAAAAAAATTTTAGTTGGTATACTGATATTTTTACAGGCAGTGAACACTTGACGAGATTAGTGAAAAAAGTAGTTCACCAATTTAATATTAATACGATAAAAATGATAAAATGATTGTTTGATTCCTATTTTTCTTAAAATTTTCTTTATTATTACTGATAATAGGCAACCATACTGATTTATTAGTTTCTTTTTATTTATTGGTTTTATTCTGTAAGGATGTCATGGACAAGAGTCTGGAAGAACTGGAAGCTGAGAGAGACGCCCTCCTGCAACAAGTCCGCAACCCCGAACCACCGCAAAGTAGACACGTCGAAGAGGTCAAAATATTTGATGAAAAACCAAAGGAAAAAATTGAAATGGTTCATGAAAGAGAAATTGATCAATCAAAGAAAAAGAAAAGGGATTTGAACGGAGATCTAGTGACGGTGAAACCAAAGTCCGAAAGTCCTACTGGAGAGGATAGTCCGCATAATCATGTGAGTTAATAAGTTAATCCTGATTTAATAATATCATAATACTACTTTATTAATATTCAATATTTATCCAAATATTTCTAGATTTCACCATTGTAATTTTATAATCCACCATTTTCATTCAGTCGCTAATGCGAATCTTATTTTAAATCTTAATTTCTTGGCCATTACAACAGTGTTATCTGCAACCGTAGGCATTTAAAATGATATTCATATGTTTTGATTTCTTTAGCCCGTCAATCTAGTGACTTTTGCATTTTCACGGATAGTCTTATTAAATTGGATAATATGAAGTATTCATATAAGTATAAAAGAATGGCAAGGGGAACCCAGCTTATTACATTTCCGAACATAATTTATTTTGGCGAGTTCTATAATGCTAAAGGTTACTCATCTCTGGCAGAGTGATTAAGGAGTGCCTACCTAAGCTTAAGTGATTAAGGAGTGCCACGAATTTTTACGAAACATACAATAAAAACATTTGAAAAAAATACGAAGAAAATGATAATGATAAGATAAGAGTAAGAACCTGGAACGCTTTTCATGTAAGAAATCCGAAAGAAACGTAAGAAATCCGCATAAAATTATGTACCCATATCAGACAGGGTCGTCGTCCTCCAAATGAATATCTAATGTTCGCGTTATTAATCTATTTAAGTACGAAATTGACGAATAATCTCTCTGTTGAGAAACTTGAAAATAAGCTGAGTATTTTACAGTGAAATCAAAGAACTTGCATAACTAACAAAAAAAATTAATAAATCTCGAAAGTAGAAATCCGGAGATTTCTATTGACGAAACCAAAATTCAGATTTTTGCATTAATCAGTGCCTTCTATAAATTTGCAAGGCAAAACAGACGATTCTAAAGATATAATAAAGATATGGAGGATCTAAAAGTTGAATCCCACAACATATCTCCTCACCTAAGCAAAAATCTTTGTCGAATTGGTGTCTTGTACCGGGTGGTCCAATAAGCCGATCTCTCGGCTATATATTAGAAACTATTCATGTTATAACTTTAGGAGAAAAAATTTCCAAAAAACGCAGTTTTTTGTGAAATATGCCCAATTATACCAAGTGTTAAATAAGTAAACTAGAAAGAGGCCTAAATTCCGTACAAAGTTGTTCAAGTACTTTTTTTATTTTTTCAAATAAAACGTGGGGGAGAGTGGGAAAGTAGTTGTGGATAAATACCTATAACTTTGGTTTGGATCAAAAGATTTTAACGAAATTACTGTCATTAGAAAGAGTGTGGATGATTTAATTTACATTTACTATAAAACAATTACATTTAGTTTTAATTATCATGGGTAGAAGGTATTTTCGAATACAAATTAAAATTTGTTTTTCTTCAAAATGCTTAATGGAAACATTTATTGTAAATTATAATATAACTGGATTAAATTCGTAACGAAATGGCGCAAACCTCATATTGATAGCTTTTGTCGAACTCGAGATATGAATTAAAACGCATAAATATAAGTAAGTATAGTATTGACTCACCCTTTATTATAACTTAAAATTAAATATGTGAAAGATCATACAAATATCTCGATCATTAAATCTTAATGTCCAATTAAATGTTCACATTGCTTTCTATCGTTGTCCACACAAAGATGTAATCTATCGCGCGTAGACATACCAGCTGCTTCAATCTCAGCTGTTTATATACATTTTATTGCGTTTATAATGCACTGTTTCATGTTGTCTCGCGTGGTTGGTTAAGTTTGGTACACTAAGTCCTTCAATCTTCCCCACAGATAAAAGTCCAGATATGTTAAGCCTGGAGATCTAGTTGACCATGAAAATATACTTCCATTTCCAATCCATTTATTTGGATAACTTGCATACAAATAATCTTGAACTCATCTGGAAAGGTGCGCAGGACACCCGTCATGTTGTAATTTCATATCTCTTCTTGTTTGTAGTGAAATATCTTCCAATAAAACAGGCAACTTATGTTCCAGAAAATCCAAATATGTTTAAGTTCTATCAAAGAAATATGGACCTACGATCTTTCCATCAACTATACCACACTAAATATTAAGACTCTATCTACCTTAAACCTGCACCTCATGTATCCAGTGCGGATTTTCTTCGGCCCAATAATGCATAATATGCAGATTAACAGCACCCGCACTATTAAACGTAGCATCGTCTGTCCACAAAATCTTTGACATGATATGCGGTTGTTCTTCTAGCAGACCTAACATCCAATTGCAGTAATCCAGCCTTGCATCAGAATCTCTCTCATGTAAAGCTTGGTGGAGAACTACATGATAAGGATGCAATCTAAAAAACAGAACAACAAATATTGGTGAAAAAGAAACCACTATATTTACTAAAACTCAAAAAATCTTGAAATATCCACAATTGTTTCACAAGTTAAATCGTGCATAAGTATTTTTAAGAAACGGATAAAAGGATAAAAGCGCCGTGTTTCTGATCTAAAGTTTAAAGGGAATTCCAAGTTTCTGACCTAAAGGTTCACTTTATAATATGAACAACCAACCTGTGATGTTTTAAAATCCTTAGAACAGTAGTTTTGGGTATGTTTAATTCTATCCAACCTTTATATCTAACCAACGAGTTACAAATGCAGAAGGGTTAAGAAAGCTGGAATATTTAGGCCACATTACCAGAGGTGAGAAATATGCGATATTAAGGCTCATAATGCAAAATAAAATCAGAAGTAAAAGATCCATAGGAAGACGAAAAATTTCCTGGCTGAGAAACCTAAGAAAGTGGTATAGTTGCAGCTCAGTAGATCTTTTTAGAGCAGCCGCCAATAAGCTACGGATAGCTGTGATGATAGCCAACCTCCGATAGGAGAAGGAACTACAAGAAGAAGAATTCTATAGAGATTTGCCGACTACTTATATGTGGATTCTGTTGAATTAAAGCAAGAACATTGATTGAATTATTCTTCGAAATTATCTATTCTTATCATACATCTACTACGTCTTTTAAAACAAGGACGATGAAAACTACCAGTTTCTCTTAATCTTCTTGCCTTTCTTTCAAATACTTCTCTTTCTAAATATCTCCTGTCAGCCTTTTGGTGACATTCGAAATAAACTCCAATCATTTCATCCAATTCTGCATTTGAGATAACACTTCTTAATAATGTTTTGACTGCAATAAACAAATAAACAATTTGAACTCCCCTCAAATTCATTGTCCTAGCCTACTTAGTTTCGAAAAAACTATTTTTAATCATATGAAATAACAATGGTCAAAATAGGTATCAACGTTAAGATTCTTCTGCTATAGAAAAATTTGAAAGTACCCACTGACTTATTTTTTAATTTAGTTTATAATACAGGGTGAGTGAATACTATACTTATGTTTATGCGTTTTTATTCATATCTCAAGTTCGACAAAAGAAATTAACATGCGGTTTGCGCCATTTTGTTACGAATTTAATCCAGTTCCATTATAATTTACAATAAATAGGTGTTTCCATTAAACATTTTGAAAAAAAACTAGTAGATGTAAATTAATTCATTAATACTCTTTCTAATGACACTAATTTCGTTAAATCGGTTGATCTAAACCAAAGTTATAACGGTGTTTTGCAACAACCGTCTAACCCACATTTGTTTACAAATGAGGTTAGACGTGTTAAATTGTCGATCTTAATGCATACTACATCAAGCAAAAATGATATAAGCCATATCTATACTCATGGATGCGTTTGTGAACTAAGTTCTAAACCACTTTCGTCAAATAATATGAAAACAGAAATTTGTAAAAATAGTCTAACCCATGTTTTCATTATAAATATGTGGGTTAGACTTTTGTTGCAAATCTTTGTAATGGTCTTTTCATTGCGTGCATCAGATGCAAAATATTAAATTAATAAACAAATATTTATTTTGACTTAGACTCGTCTTATTAAAAGACAAGAAATTTATTATTACACTAATAGTACAATTTTATTTAAATAAATAAAATTGCACCAAACTAGAGGCCTTATCTTTAATGGTAAAATACGAAAGTATATTATTTAAAACTGTGAATTTTCTGTGTCGTCAGCTCGGAAATTGATTAAAGAAATTTTTAAATTCCTTTTATCACAGATAGTGTACCGAAAAGGTAACATAATATATGTTTTGCGATTACTCGTATATTGATGTCATAAATGCCGACAAAAAATTGCATTATCATATAACGAACATATTGGAACTGTTGCTTGATTGTCAAAATTCTGGTCAGCAAAATATTGTATGCCTTTTTAACAAAGAAGTTTGATATTTCAACATACCGTTTTACACTTTACGAGTGCGGTAGGTTGTTATTATTTGGGTGTAATATTTTAAAGCAAAATACCACAAACTTGGTGTTCTTACTTCAGTGACTATAATTTTTATTATTCGAGGTACGTATAAACTTATTTTGACTTAAAATTTCACTGTAGATATAAATTTTTATTTAATAAATCCTTTTATTTAATATTAACAGCAAACGGCAGTTAAACTAATTTGGATCTATGATAGCTGCCCATATTATAATACTTGCACATACAGAAATATAAATATATCAAGTTTAACATTAGCTACGTTAGTCGTGTAGTGGGGTTAGATCTGATCTAATATACGCGCAAGAAGATGAAACACTGGAGACCCTGACATTTGATCTCCAAAAAACTCATCCTTTACCAAAAATACCAAATACCAAAATACCAAAGAATAGAAGTATTAAGCTAGTGTTAATGCTTATTCACATACTTCAAAACCATACGTCCCTTGAATCCATTTCGTTAAAATTTTTACTTTCTGGCCACAGTTTCCTGCCTAATGATTCACATTTCGGAGATGTCGAATGCGCTCTTAAAACTCATCAAAGACTGTACACTGACAACGATTACATAGAAATAATGAGATCTTGCCGAGTAAAAAATAAATTTGTTGTAAACCGTCTAAGATCTGAAGAAATGGTTTCAGTTAGTGTTTTGCTACAATCCATAACAAATCGCAAAACAGATATAAATAAGGATGTTATTAATTAGCTAAAAACACATGTAATACATATTACAAAGGAAAATCCCACAATTTTGTACATGAAAAAACATGTGAGAGATCAACAATTTTCGGAGGTAAATATTGAAAAATCAGATAAAGGTCGAAAACCTGTTTTATAGAATGCAGAGTTGTCTCCCTTGTGGCCAAATCACTGTCCGCTGAAAAAATTAAGGTCCTTAAAGATTTGTCTAAGTTAATTTCCCAAGATGCCATGCCTTTTTATGGATTTTTGGACAACATCAGCTATGAAAATTTTGAAGAAGATTTGGAAGGAATTGGATTTAATCCCGATTTCGAGATTGACCAAGATCAAATCGAGTAGAAATTAAACAGTAACAGGTACTTACTATTTGTAATTAACTCAGATTCGAAGTTTTTTCTCTGTATTTATTATTTTGGAGGGATAGACGGTTATTGCAAAATGACGAACTTATATTTTTACCATTTTGCAAAAACCGTCTAAGCCGCTTTAAGTTATTTTTGCAATAAACTGTTTTTACTTATTTTGCTTTTGTACGTTTTTTAAGGTAGCCTGTAATTATTGAAATATAAAAATGTGAAAATAAAGCCTTATTTTCTATCAGTTAATTTTTTAAAGTAGGTAGATACATTATGCTCATTTACTCGAAACCATATATATGTGGCTTAGACTATTATTGCAGAACACTCTCCAGTTATTTATCCATAAATATTTTCCCACTCTCCCCCACCCTTTATTGGAAAAAATTTTAAAAAAGTACTTGAACAACTTTGTGCAGAATTTAAGCCTGTTTCTAGTTTACTTAATTAACACTTGGTATAATTGGGCATATTTCCCAAAAAACTGGTTTTCAAAGTTTTCTTCACAGGTTACGCCCCCTAGCGGTTAACCCAGAAACTTGAAAGTTATTTCCAGCGATTCCTCTTGGCCACTTTTACTAAGGAATTTTTTCTCCTAAAGTTATAACATGAATAGTTTCTGATACATAGCCAAGAAATCGGCTTGTTGGACCACCCGGTACTCATAAAGAGTATACCGAAATAAAAGAAATGACAATTAAGATTTGATTTAACGTATAGTGCCTATGTATATTCGCTTATACGTATTTCATTCTAGTAAGAATCATCATTGCGACTGGTACACAAGGCCTGAGAAAGAAACAACCAAAATTAAGTTGATAGGAATTAAGATATTGTAGGAAGCTATGGTCAGTAAAAGAAACGACGAAGAAGACATTTTTATTCTCCAATTAGAGCATGAACTTGCAAAGCAGCAGTTGACAACAAGAACAACTTGATAAGAGACCAAATAGATTATTTATTAATTAACATCCATTTATTATTGATACTATTAACGATATTGGATCATACCAAAACCCAGAACAATGTCGATAAAACTGAAGAATATCAATCCTAACAATATCATAAACCCAATTTAGAGAAAAATAACGATAGATGAGAATAGAGATTGAAAATACCCTTAAGGAAAAATTTGATTAAATGCTCATTGATACAGTCGAAAGTGCATGAGACACGGCCACGTACATACGTATATAGATATATACATATACATACATATTCATATTTATATATATATATATATATATATATATATAAAACATCAAAGTTATTATATTCCATGTAACGTTTTTAACTTTAATAAGTGCTTCTTGGTTTGTTAGAGTTCTAGAAAATTTATACCTTCGAAATTTTAAATTTTTTGTTTATTTTTTAGGTCTTTAACGAGCACTCATATTGCATACAAAGTACAGAGAAAGAAACCCTGGATCAACCCCAGAAAGAACAGCCTGTACAACTTTCTACTCAAAATGCTCTTAACGATCACGAGTATCTTTCCAAGGAACAAAAAATAGAGAAAGTTAAAAAGGAGAAACCTCCCAAGCCAATTAAACCGAGGAAGCACAAGGAACATAAAAAATTACAAGAACTCCAAAATAAACTCGCCTATGAAAGGCAATTCGCTTGGGGCGGAAGTGATCCTTATAGTTTTCATAACGTACAGCATAAACCAAGGGATCAGTTGTCGGAGTTTTCATTAATGTTTGAATTTTTGGCTAAAGGTAAGATACCCATCAAAACTTATAAAGTTTATTTGTATAATATGTATTACTAAAACGCTAAGACTATGTATAACTATGCTCTATAGATTTGTAAGTATAGGTGCAGAACTTTCAGGATCGTCTGAAAGAAACGTCTTATTCTAAATAAGTAATTTTGTACTACATAAAAAATGTGTAAAATTTTTGGCGTTTCCGCCGAGCCCCTGTGCTCCGCAAAGCCTTCGGTAGGACTCCGCCGGTAACCATAAAGCCGGCGGAATTCTTGTATTAAAGTGGAACCTATAAAAATCAAGTTGTCTATGATATAAATCAACTACCAAAATAACACCTATACATATAGGGTTAACGGGTACATATACGTTTTACAAATTTAGTATATTGTTAAGTAAGCACCCTACCTATTATATCGAAATGTTACACATACGTCACCATTCACCTCCGGACTATAAGTTCGAATGAGCTCGGCTCGACGCGCCGCTTCTCGTTGACGCGTTGTTCGGAGAAAATCGTCTCGCTAGGGTATTCGAGATGATTGATGGTTATATACTATAAAAGGTCAAACGCTCAGTGCGTTATGATCGCTTGTGTTGCTCGTAGTGGTTGTAAAGTCTTGTATTACGTGTGTGAAGAGAATATATTTGTCTTAAAATATTCCAAATTAAATTAGTGTTAAAAAGAGGCTTAAAGGTGTTAACAATAAAAATAAAGTCATTCACGGAGGATTCACAAGTGATTCGCTTGACGGCGCGGCGTCAAGTACTAGTTATATGTTTTCAAGTTCAAGTAGTAACACATCTAATGATGCACTCAAGGCGACAAAGCGAAAGTATGACGAATCATACATTAATCTCGGATTTGTTGATTCCAACGGTTCACCCCTCTGTATGTCCTCTTTTATATAGACATGACTCTGTCTGTTTTTCAATGTGCCTCCAGTAAGTTGTCATTCCATCGTTTTCGTGGTCTTCCTATATATAATTGAACAACTCTCTGTATGTTATGCAGCAAACTGTGTCCTAATAGTTCGATGGTACTTTCTAAGATGCACCGACATAGAAAATGTGCATCCTAATTTCAAAGACAGGATTAAATAATTTTTTATACTTAAAAAAGAATAATTATTAAGAAGCTAAAAAAACTATGATGTATGCGATTGTAAATGAAAGGGCCAGGGAGGCGTCATATTTATAATATTTACCGCATTGCCCAAGCACACAAGCATGTTGTTGGAAACGACAGTAGAGTAGAACATTTCTAACAACCTACTTGTGTGAAGTGGGAATTTCTGCGTATATAGCTACAAAAACAAACTTACCACAATAGACTGAATGCTGAACCAGACAAGAGAATTCAACCTTCTTTTATCCAGCCTGGCATTACCCAGTTAGTGAAGAATAAAAAACGATTTCATGCCTCCTATAAAATGAACTTAGTTTTACCATTTGTTTACTAACTTAATACTTAATAAGTCTTCCGGTATATATCTTTTTTGTATAATTATTAATAAACCATATACATATATTTAGTTTTTAAAAGCTTTCTGCCACTCAAAAATTGTTAGAATCGCTGCTGTAAACTATCGGATGAGGAGTGTTATGTTATTTCAAAAATAATATATTTTTATTCGTCACTTTTGTTTTAGTTGTAGTCACTTTATTTAACTAATATGTTCAAAATTTGTTAGGTATCGATAAAGAAGACGTGGAGTACATTAAAAGATCTTATGAAGAACTGCTCTCAAATGACGCAATGAGCTACTGGTTGAACGACACCCATTGGGTCGACCACTGTATGACCGATCTCTATTCTAGTCCTCCGAAACGGAGGAAAAAAGACGAAAGAGTCCACGTCACCGGCAACGCAAGAACTGAGGGCTACTACAAACTGTCCGCACACGAAAAGTCAAGGTACAAATATCACCACGCGAAGTCGCATGCTGTCATCAGGTCTAGCACTGCAACGGTTACCAAACAAGGTAAGATTTTATTTTTATGCGCTTTTTACGTCTTTACTTTCTTAGAAACCACTCTTTCTAATTTTTCAAGCATATTATCAAATTACAATTGTCAAAGTGTTAAAACAATCAGAATGCAATTACAACTCAAAATACTGTTGACATATATCCAAATATAGTCCAAATACAAAAATATGAAACAATATGTCTTGTCTAACCGTCACCCATCAAATCTTTTTTGACTAAAACTAGGACATTCGCACACACTAAAAGTTTTGCACAGAGCCATCTAGTGAAAGTTACTAGACTTCGTAAGTATGATTTTCGTAAATTTTGCCATTTCTTATGTTAAACAACATTGACATATTGAAAATCCACCGTTAGCAGCAAAAAATTGTTGCTACTAAACTACCACAACAGAAAAAATGGAAATCTCGTGAAACTTTTTGTGCGATGAATTTATACGATTTTAAAATTAGTCTAACTAAACAACAAGGTATTTCATCTTGATTTTCGTGATAAAGCATCAGATTAATCAACTGTTCACAGACGGCTTAAGGAATGAAGTGTTGACGTACCAACCTCAGTGACGAATTCCGTAAAGGCCGTCAGGTTACAGCTGTTGATGCTGTGACCTGGAAAGCATTGATGCTGTGGCAATAATTGGACAAAGGCAAGAGTGTAATTTTGCGTAACCATTTGGCAATGAAAAAGATTTGCAGCTGTTGAATTTCTCATAATTTGATTTCTGTCTATAAGAAGACATGTGTCGATTGATGCCGCGCCACACCCAAATTCAACGGAAGCAGGTCAAATTTGGTATGGAACATCGTAATTGGTAATGAAACATGAATATTATAAGCTCTAAACGGAAAGAACCAATCAATGGTATGGGTGGGTAAAATGACCCAGTGCCGACAGAAATAGTCCGCGCTCACAGCGATGACAAACAAATGATGTTTTTTTTTAAAGACACTTTACCATGATCTCGTTAGATAATGATAGTGCCTTTAATGCTGAAGAATATACAATCATTTGTTTACCAGACGTGATTGATAAACTTCGCAAAAATTACCGAAATCGTCACATATTCTGGCATCAGAACAATGCCAGCCCTCACCCGTCTCGAATAACAGCCAAGCATTTGAAGACGAACGTATCTAATGTAATTTCTTTGGGTTCCCGAGAATCAAAAACAAACTACACGATTAACATTTTAACATGCCAGATGAGACGGTCGAAGCATAGAAAAATATCATTTTTAAGGTACCTATTTCGCACGGTAAAAAAACCTTCAATGGTTGATTTTTTCGAATGCAAAAGTAAAAAAAGAGTTTATTTTGACAAAAAACGAGTATAAATAATAAAGAAATAACCAATTCAAAAAAAATTAATGTTAAGGTTCTATGCACGAAAACAATCTGATCAATTTCCGAACAGATTCGAGTAATCATACAAATGTTATATATTGAAACGAACCTACGATCAATTTTATTTTGGCATCTATACTTTTACAATGATTTCAGATTTCAAACATAGCAAATAACGAAAATTTATATGCCGCAAGTAAAAATCGTTCACAATTCTTCTATTATAATTATCATTACTTGACAGTGTCTGTTTTTCTTACATGAAACCTGTTACGTATTTGTAAATAAATTGAGACAGTCCTGTGTATGTCATTTGTCTGCGTATTGTCACAGCGCAACTAGCAATTTGTGTTCGGAGTTCTCTGATTATGCATCACTTCATTCCAAGCCAGCCATTCCAGATATAGCTGCAACGTTCAAGATCAATTCATCGATAAAGGGAGGAGCCAATAGTCAGTCGTATACAAGAGCCCGAAGCGCAATCATCCGTATATTTAGCATTGAACATAAATATTTAATGCGTTGCTACGTTGTCGGATAACTTCGATAACATCGGATTCTGAGTGCACAAGCTCGTGAAATTATATACTTGGTTTTATTATGACTAATAACTTTCAAATAACATATTTTATCAATTACCTTAAACCTTTTAACTTTGATATTAGCGTTCTGATAATAAATATAATTATAAACTTATTACAGTAATTATAGATATTAATATTACGTCTGTCGTGTCTTGTCGTGTCAAATCGTCACCGTTGCAGTTGAATCTGTTTAGCTGTACTTACAATCAGGTTCTTAAATATAATCTGCTTATTGGTAAGCACGTAAATAGTTCTGTAGTTGTGACAGATCTTTTTTATTCTGTTTTATATTTTTTTAGTACCATTCAATTGGATGTATTCGGTCCGATTTCCAAACAAGTTGTTACTGTTTGGTGTGATATTTTTAGATGTTTAGTTACTGTTTTATTTCTGACGAGTTACTTTGGTGACCAGGTCCAGTTTTTTTTATTATTTTATTTTTATATTTTCTACTGTCCTCACTCGTGACGTACAAGTATCGTGTTCTGTATAAATACAAGAACCGTCAAACGGCACTGAAGTCTCAATTTGTCTACTCCTCAGTGTCGAGTGACGACCGGTCTTACCCTGTGTCTGTGTGGCTGCTTTTATACTATCAATATGCGCGGGAAAGGTATGTGCTGACGTGGTTTGGGTTGGGGTGGGGGTCGCTAGTCTATGGCCTGTCTGAATATGATACTGGGTTAGGGCTGAAGTAGTATCGGAATGTTTGACTGAAAGAGAATGTTCGTAAATGCGATTATGGATTCGTCGGTTTGTCTGTCCTATGTATGAACGTGGGCAACTGGAACAAGGTATTTCGTAGACACCATGGTCTTCATTGGGGATTTGGTCTTTTACGGATTAGACAGATTGGCGAGATTGGACAACTTTGAGTGAGTAGTGAAGATGGTTTTGATATTTAGAGGGATAAGAGTTCGACTGATCTTATGAGTGACACCTTTAATAAAAGGTAGAAAGATTTTGGGTTGATCCGGCGGCAAGGTTTCTTTTTTGGATGGAATGGGGTCTAGATGTTTTTGAATGCTTCTATTGATTTGGGTTTTGTGGTAGCTAAGTCTATTGTTGTCGCTAAGTCTTATGGAACGGGAAATAAGAGTATTGTTAACTGAATTGAGTTGGACGGGGTGATGAAGTGACTGGGCATTGAGATAACGGTTTATATGAGTGGGTTTGCGGTACACAGAATAGGAAAAACTGAGGAGTGTGAGGTGGGTTTTTCTGAATAAAAACATCAAGGAATGGCAAAGACGCTTTAGACTCAACTTCCATCGTGAATTGAATGCTGGGATGTATTCCATTCAGGTGGGAGAGAAAGAGATCTAATGTGTCCTTGCCATGGGGCCAAATGACAAAGGTGTCATCAATGTACCGTAACCAGCAGGTGGATTTGAGATCTGATGAGGACAGGGCTACTGTTTCGAAATGTTCCATGTAGATATATGAGCTATTATGGGAAATAGGGTGATCCCATTGGGGCACTTTTGATTTGACGATAGAAATGATTTTGGAATGAAAAATATGTATTAGACATGCAGTATTTTATAAGAGATAATGTGTTTTGGGGATGTGATGTTTGGAGTCCAAGATGGAAATGGTTTCATCGATGTTGGTGAATAAAGAAACAATGTCAAAACTGACCAGTATATCTGAGGGTGAAATTGAAGTGTTTTTCAGAAGATCAATAAAATGAAAAGAGTTTTTGACAAAGGACGAGGCTTTTTCGACTAATGGTTGTAAGAATAAAGCGAGATGTTTTGCCAATTTCTGAGTGGGGCAGTTGTATGCACTGACGATGGGTTTTAGTGGGACATTGAGCTTATGGATTTTTGGAAGGCCGTATATCTTTGGAATTCGAGATGATTTTTCTCTGGGTATAAGAGATTTTTGATGTCTGGAGGTAGAGTAGACTTATTTATAATAGATTTGGTCGTTTTTTTCTAGATATGTGGTGGGATCATTTGGGACCCGTTTGTATTGTGTAGAATTGAGAAGTTCGGACATTTTGTCGAAATAATTAGAAGAGTTGAGAATGATGGTGGCTGGAAGGATGACAATATCAGGATTGTTATAGAGTTCTTTGAGGGCACGTCTTTCTGAAAGACTGATATTTGACGGTGAATGTTTGGAAGTGCCGAGAATTCTGGCGACGTCTTGTCTGGCAATTTCGGCTTGGTCGGAAGGAAGATGAGAAATATCTTCTTCAGTTTGATAAATAATTTTCTCTGTTGGGATGGAAAGACGAGTGACAGAAAAATTGAAGCCTTTTAACAAAGGTTTGTTAGCTGAATCGGATATGTAAATATCTGAGAAATTGTGAACAACAGAGAGGTTTTTCGATTCGAAATGGACTCTGGATTTTGCTGAGAGATAGGAAAGAAGGACTGGAACTTGAAGTGTCAGTGGTAGATGAGATTGTTTCCCTTGGAAAATCCATGGGTCTGGAGGTAGATGAAAGAAATGTGAACGAACTTGTCGAGGAACAGTCTCAGGAGCTGGCAACCGAGATGTAAGACGAACTACATTCGCAGCAGCATACGGTGGTTCATCGAAAAATTAGTTTTGAAGAGCAGCCAGAATTGGAAGACGTCGTCTCTCCAAGATATTCTGGGAATGTGGGAGAAAGTTGCAGAGTTCGTGGATAAAAATCATCCCTAAAAAGTTATAAACAGGAGACAGGCAGGAGAATTACTTACTACAACAAATGACCAAATAGAGAGATGGAAAGAGCATTTTCAGGAGATGCTAGGCACGCCCAGGGATAACGCAGATGAAATTGTCAAAAATCCACAGAATATAGACTTGCGTATATCTTGCGACGCCCCTTCCAAAACAGAGATAATAACAGCTATCAAATCTCTGAAAAATAACAAGTCTCCGGGAATCGATAACATTGCTGCCGAAATACTTAAAACTGATCCGCATCTAACTGCTGAACTTTTGCTCCTCATAATCCGAGAGGTGTGGGAAACAAACCGCATTCCAGCGGGCTGGAAAAAAGGCATCATTATTAAGCTTCCAAAAAAGGGCAACCTCACACTATGCAAAAATTGGAGAGGAATAAATATATTGCTTACTTGCCATAAATAAAATCTTCACGACCATCATATTTAAAAGATTAACAAACAAGGTTGAATTTCGAGCTAATCAAGTAGGCTTTAGACCAGAATCCTCCTGCATAGACCACATTAATACTGTGAGGCTAATAATGGAACAATCGGTTGAATGGAACACACCCCTATACATGGTTTTTGTTGATTTCGAGCGTGCTTTTGACAGCTTATCTCATGATGCGATATGGAAAATTTTAGAGCTAAGAAACATCCCGCATAAAATAATTTCCATTATAAAGTTACTGTACACTGAAGCGAAATGCAGCGTGACACACAATGGGATCAACAGTGACGAATTTGACGTACTTACTGGAGTCAGACAGGGATGCGTGCTTTCTCCGTTTCTTTTTAACATAGCTCTAGACTATGTTCTCTCCAAACTAGACTCTGACACAAGAGGGATACAATGGACGTTAACCACACGCCTAAGCGATCTAGAATACGCCGACGATATCTGCCTGTTAGGACAAAGGTTCCAAGATGTGGCTGACCAATTGGAAACACTTTCCACTGAAGCCAATAAAATAGGTTTGAAAATCAATATTGGTAAAACCAAATCCATGAGAATAAATG